CCGTACTTCCGAGATACTCTGGGGCACTTTGCGGTTATTCTGCAGGGCTAGGCGAGATCTAGCATTACAATATCAAATGACACTATGCTACACATTATGTTCGAAAAGCTGAAGACAAACGTCTATGAGAGTATGATTATTGTGGCTCCGAGATTCCTATGAGAGAACAGCGGAGCACGACTTTACTTTAGTTGTATTTAGTTTGTCCAAAGCTTCGCTGTCCTCTCCCTTTGGGAAGTGGGGGATATTGATAATGGCGTCTATGGCTACCAGACATTGTTTGCAGAGTTTGACTATAGCGCTGGCCACTTTCTATACTACAGCATGATGTACTATGGAGGTATTGGTCAGGTACGGATCTATGGTATTCATCGTGACTATGATGTGCACTATGGCACAGTGGCACAGCTTTAGTTTTCGAACTGTCTTCTGGTGAGAGATTGAGTTTCTAGGTGTGGGAGAAATAAAATGGTTCAAGTTCTGCTTGGGGACGTTGCGTGGCGGAGATAGTCGCCTGGAAGTTCGGAATGGAGCTTCGAGGTTAACTATCCAGCTTTGGGAAGAAGTAGCAATATGTTCAATATGAATCTCAATCCGAACCACGTCGAAAAAGAATGGGCCTCTCTATTAGACTGCCCTAGCAGAAGCTTTATATGGATATGCTTCCTTATAGTTTCTAAGTTGCTATAAAGCAACGCAGCATTTGGAAGAGCTAGTCAGTAGTTATCTCTTGCCGGATTTTTCTTATATCGATCATGGGGAATAATGATTGTCGGCTATTTGTGGGAATGATGACCGGCCTTATTGCTGATTGGCAGCTGCTGAGCTCTTGTTCTAGTCTCTATCGATCCGAGGAGTATGGATGCTAGTTTCTAGGGCCTACGTAGAACCTAGGAACTTGCACACAGCTTTTGGGAACGCACAATCGCTTTCCAGGACCCCGGCTTATATTCCTGGAGATGCTATCTATGCGCCTAGGAACACATCTGCTGGCCCTGGGAGCTGTTCTGCTTCTGGGAATCCCTGCCTTGTATTCCTGGGTTGTTATACCTGAGGATCTATTGGAACTTGAAGAGTTGTGTATATAGCAGGCAGCTATGATAGCAGAACTTACGATACTAGAGGCCCGCACCACTATACGAGATTGTGTTGAAGATGAGGGGGTTCAGCAGTCTTCTGCCTGGATTTCTTGCGCAATATCTTGTATACAGCAGGACATATAGTTCTTGACTCTGATCATTCATTTTGAGACGCTACTGGCCTCTAACAGATAATACAGGAGGATTTCAGAAATTTCTTTGCTCCTGAGAGGCGATGTATAGGTGCCCTAGACTGTATATAAGATTCGAGGAGCAAGAAAGCTCCTAGGCCTAGCTTGTACGTTCCGGGAGCCGACGGGCGCTCTCTAGGATTAACTCCCCCCGGGGCGCTTCCGCGTTGTCTGCAATCAGGTTTTTTTTCCCTAGGAATCGGCTGATTCCCGTGGTCGAGGCCTAGGCAAGAGGGCTAGGCAAAGACGTGACCGGGTCTCTGCTCTACGTAGAGAAAATTGTCGAACTTAGGAGTGGTATCTTAGTTACCACTAGCAACATGCTTATTCATCGAGCACCCATATGTTAATGGGATGGAACCGATACTTGCGGGTAACTTGTTTCGGTTGTCCCGTCTCCCTATCTTTGTGCTTCTTGTATGTAACTTTGGCATCCTGCGATAACACTGTCTAGTATCTCGCGGGGACTGCGGCTTTTAGTTTGTCCTTGAGGGCCCGCTCGTATTCCACTCTTTTACTTAGAAGACAATTCACTCGTGTTTTCCCCTCTCTATTCGCTAGTTCCTATACATATGCATATATATATCTGACAGTTTGTCTAAAATCTCTGTCGTTTTGTGCTCTACGAGCGTGTTGAATTCTGGGAGACAGCCGCCGTTGCATGAGGGCTTAACGTCACCGGTGAAGCAACCATTTAAAGTATGCCGCAGGAGACAACAGAGTCGGCCCGATGAAACAAAAGGATAAATAATGTAGATAAATGCTATTTGTAATATCACTATGAACATTTGTTGAGAAAACTCCGGTAATTTGGAGACTAGTGCGTCTAACATTCAAAATTGAGGTCTTGTCGGGATGAAGTTGATTCTCACATTTTTACTAGTTGATGACGAACTATCAGATAGTATGTATACGTATGGGAACTAGCAAATTGAGAGAGAAAACGGATGAATTGATTCCCCCTTCCCTCTATGAGCGGGGGTTTAGGGGCTCTGTTGAAGTACCCTATGGAATCGGCGACGAAGCCGGCTTCACGTCTGTAACTCTGGTGTTGTCTATATGCGATTAAAACAAAGATCGACGAAATGTGGGTACTTGATGAATGAGCAGGTTGCTAGTGGTGAGATACGGTGCCTCCCCTAAATTCGACAGTTGGTTCCATTATCACCGCACCAAATCATTAATTAGAAATTCTTGCTACCGTTGTCCAGCAGCTTCAACGGCTATGCGCACTACTGATACCTGCCTACGCAGTGGAATGCGGACCGACATCTCTTCTAAAAATAGGTCCGCAACCCTGTGTAGGTCACGCTTGGCACATTTTGGCGTTGGTGATGAGTTCGGCGTTGGGTCCACAGTAAAGCGAGGGCCTTTGTTTGATCCGACAACGCAGAAAATTTGTTCGTCAGTCAATGCTTTTTAAACAACACTATGTCCATAAAGTAACTCATTATGGCTATTTCAACATTAACAGTCTAGAGTTGGTATTCTAAGTGTCACTCAAATTGATGAATATTGATGGTAAACATGATCTTAAACAGGCCTTAGATTTGGACGGCTGCCCTAATAATTAGGTGTTACTAGTTGCATTGCTAATAGCAGTCACTCTGGTGCTAATTAAAGTACGTAGGCGACAGAACAAGCCGAGAAGTCTATAAATACTCTTTATTATCCCTAGTCTTTTGCTCCAGTCGCCTGGACTAGACGGGACCGGACACTATCAGTGAATGCGTGATAAGTTCTTCCTCTATTAATTATCAACTGACTCTTTAACTGAGTTAAGTTAACTCAGCTTATACAGACAAAGCACCTCGTTGAATCATGTGAGTCTGTAAGTGCCTGATACGCCGCCATGCAAAGCTCCTCCTCTTCACTGGCTATCTAGCTATCGTCTCGAGTTGTCCTGATTGAGCTGGACAAGCCGACACGAAGAAATCTAGGCTCCCTGATAACAATCCCGTTAATTAGAGATATCACAGCTGTCCAATTGAGTTGACCCCTTCACAATCGAGACGTTCCCTTATTTTCAATGGTGCAAAAACAGGCGAGCTATGTCACGGGTATGTGGCTCGGCCTTTTGCCTTGGCTGATACTAACCTCGAAGACACTTTATACTGCTAGAACTGGGTGCCTATCGCCTAAAAAACATAAGTGCAACACTTCTAATCCCGGATGCTAACCGAAATATGTCAGTCATAAACCACCCCTTTGAGCTACTAACTAATGACTGGCAGCAAATGATGAGTTGTGACTTAGAATAGCATCCTTAGCGTTCGAGCGCTACTATAAATCATCGTATCGCAAAGCTGACGCCTACAGACTACTATCTGACTGGTCGCACTACTTGTGTTAGTAATCATCGCACTACCCGTTCTGCCAGCTGTGAAACCCCGTTACCGGGAATGTGCTCTAAGACCGGTACGGGGATAGAGCTCGTCACGGTTTTGGGAACCTTTTGACGCTATTCAAAGCCGCGGGATTTGAAAGCACACTGATGTCTGGTTACCGACTATGAATAGGGAAACGAGAATGAAATGCGGTCGTCTTCGATGCAGAGACGTGACTGTTGATTTACTTCGTTGTGTACCAAGTTGGCACCAACAGCGGCTGTACGTGGCCCAATGGTGGATAACTATGAGTTCATAAGCCCTCCCGCATACACCAATGCAACGACAAACCCCTTTCAATGAAGAACCCCGAAGTATAAATCGTTTCTCGCAAGGTTCGGATCCGCACTATAGAGACAGAATCATCACTTCCGTATGTTTGAGCCCCGAATATCCATCCGCTGGAGACGATAGTGTGCAGAACACCACCAAGGAGCTGCGACAGCTCATCGACAACACCACTCGAAGCGCCGTCATAGAATCCACGAAATCAGACCTGGGGTCAAACGCGAACGGCACGCCTTCAAAACTATCAATGACCAGCTGAAGAGGAAGTGCGAGTGCATCGGAACCAGATCGACGGACTCCCCTTCCTTCTTCCTTCTCGTGATCGCCGGCCACTGTGTGAGCCAGCTCTGCGAATCTCGGACCTTCTTTGAGCTACAAAGACCGCGACCGCGTTCGAATTGGCTCCAGATGATCAAAGTCGATAGCGTCAACAAAGCCGCAGTGCTCGATGAAAATGATGAGATCCGAGCCGGAGCTGCGGCAGCCTTCAGCGAGGAGAACGAAGCTACCGTGGCTAAGATCGCATGGCTCAGCGGAAAGGAGAGTACGAAGGCCTACGGGTCAATGGTCGTTTATCTTACCAAAGGTACTGACGCACGGAGGCTCCTGGCCGACGGGTTCTTTCACGCTGGAGGAGAGTCTGGCGTGACCAGCACTTTTGAATATCGACCACAACCGACGCAATGCTACAACTGCCAGGAGATTGGCCACAAGGCGTTCCAGTGTAAGGACGTCCAGAAGTGCGCGAAATGCGCCACGGAGGGCCGTCAACAGTTAAGCAGTTTTTGGCTGGAGCACCAAGCCGATCCCGCACACGATATACGCTTGATGATATTGTCCCCTTGAAACACAAAGATTCTGGGGCTGTCAAGTGTTGCCCTTTCGGGACCGACTTCGACGGCAAAACCTGTTTACTGGCCGTCCCAGTCTGCCCAGATGGAACCATTCATAAGGACAGCCGATGCGTATCCACGAGAGGACCCGAATGCCCAGCTGGAACCACGCCGGAGGGTGACCTCTGTATATCGAGGAACGAACCATTCTGCCCCACCCCCATGAAAGTGAAAGGAAACCACTGCACTTCTGAGCAGGGTCCGACCTGTGAGGGTACGCTCGAACCCAGTGGAAATGTTTGTATCTCAAAAGTGCGTCCATCTTGCCCCGGAAATGAACATTTCGATGGCAAAGTATGTATCAGCGACCAAGGATCTCGATGTCCTGAGGGCACAGAGGCTTGCGATGGACTTTGCATCAGTAAAAAACCGGCCTTCTGCCCTGGGGATCTGGAGTACAACCAGAGCGCCAATCGTTGTACTTCCAAGGAACCACCGCAATGCCCGGAGATGAGTCGCCGTGAAGGAGTCGCCGTGAAGGCGATTACTGTGTGTCTGATAATGGACCAAAATGCGCCGGTGAGGGTGAATTTGATTCCAAAACCCAGTTGTGTGTGTCTCTTACACCACCATCGTGTCCGGAAAGGTCCCTCTTGGAAGGCAAAGAGTGTGTTTCGATTGAACGCCCTGCATGTTCCACAGGGCAAATTTCAACCAACCTCTCAGACGGGTCTGCTCGCTGCTGCCCGGTTGGCCTTTCCGGGGATGGTCAAATGTGTACCATAGCACCTGGCGTCGACGGAAAATGCCCAGGGGACACAATTGAGCAGGACAGCAAGTGCAGGGTCAAAGCCATCAGTGAACCTTTCTGTGAACCCGAATATCGTCTACAAGGTAGTCGATGTGTCTCCGTACAGGGACCTTTTTGTGAGCCTCCATTGATACGAGATGGGTCTCTCTGTGTATCAGAGGAGGTACCAATTTGTCCCTCTGACACCCATCTGGTTCGGGATAAATGTGTGGGGGAGACCAAGCCTACCTGTCCAGAAGATACCCTCCGCGACGGGGAGCTCTGCGTTAGCAACAACAAGCCTAGCTGTGACGAGGCGAACGGAGTCGAGCTTGTTGGCAACCGGTGTGTTAGTGATATTCTTCCAACATGTGTGGAAGGACACCCCAAGGGTGAAGACTGTGTTATTGCAAGCAGACCAGTGTGTTCAGGGAAGAACGTGGCATTTGACGGTACTAGGTGCGTCTCTGAGAGCAGACCTGTGTGCCCAACAGGCAGCACATTTGACGGCGATGGATCGTGTATCACGAAGAAGACTCCAGCATGCAAGGTTGGCCAACTAGTGCAGGGAAAGTGTGTAACAGGTAATCCTGTCTGCTCCAGTGGCACAGTTATTCAAGGCACCAACTGTGTCAGTCAGGACGATCCACGCTGCGATGAAGGCTTCCGCTTTATCATGGGAAAGTGTGTATCCCTAGCCGGACAAGAATGCGCGGATGGATACACCCTCGTCAACGGCGAGTGCGCGTCGAAGGGCCACCCCACCTGTGAGCAAGGCGCCATGTTCAACGGCACAACATGCGTTGGTGGAAAGGCCCCTTGTCCGGACGGGACCTCCTTCGACGGCACCGATTGCTCTTATGAGACTATTCCCACCTGCCAACACGGAGTTCTCAAGAATATGAAATGCGTTGTCGAAAAAGAACCCGAATGTTCATACGGATATGCCAAGGATCCTGTTTCCAGAGAATGTATCCACACCAAGGGCCCTCAGTGTCCTCGCGGGCAGAAGTTCACTGGTGAACATTGTGTTCTGGCAAACGATGACTGCATGGAATTCGAGTATTGCCCTAATATTCCCGGCTCGGTTGATACTTCCTATGTGGCGGCGGCATTGGGTCAAAGGTCGTTCCCAGGAGCTTTCTAAGGGTTCGCACACGAATTACATATCGACTTCAGAATATATTGACATGAGAAGTTGTCTTCAAGGTTGAAGTTGACAGGACTTGGTTGGAACTTGAAATGAAATAGGGCTGTTACGAATATTCGTAATTGCGAATAATATTCGCGCGAATATTTGCTGCGAATAATTATTCGCAAAATCTAAGCCTGCGAATAAAATTTGCGAATATTATTCGCAAAGAATTTGGAATGCGAATAATTTATTCGCCAAAATCTGCGAATATTCGTTATTCGCAATTCCCTTTGGGTATCTAGCGATTAACGAGAGATATATATCTCTCTTTCCCCCGGTAGCCTTCTCAATTCTATTAGGTTATAAATTGCATAGTAGGAGACATACACTGTACAACACAAGACACTCGAAGCTTCGCTTATTCTTCATATAATAGTTCAATCTATTAGCTACTGCCTATATGCATCATCCAACAGCATTAGGCTCCTCATCGTCTCTCCCTTCATGGAGAACCGTCGTACTCCTAGCACGTCTCTTCCTGCGTTGAATAATCTCTCAACAGATACTTCAGAGGCTGGGATTGCTAAGTAATCCCTAGCAGCAGCAGCCATCCGAGGATATTCTTTTCTATGGGCTCTCCACCAATCGCATAGCCAGTTCTGATCTTCCATATCACTTGCATCAATCCGAGGACTATCGAAATACCGATCAATGTCAGAAAATCGGGGTCTATCTTGAGGCTGTAGTCTGCGTAACATCCGGCTGCCCACTTTTTGCTTCTTATAACTAGGTTCTAGCGGCTCTGCCATATCAAGTGGTTCTGTAGTTCCAGGATATTTGCAGTGAAGGTCATCGCGGAGAGCTTGGAGAATATTCCTCCCGGTGTCTTCAGTATCCAACTCGTATAGAAGGAGATCTCCTTTCACACGAGGATCCAAGACCAGCGCAGTATAGTATATGTCAGAGACATCCATGAAAGTGTAGTACTTCATATACTTCTTGATACTCTCCCTAACAGCGCTTGCAATATCCTCATCAAGATCTGCAAAATCTTCCTTACGCTCAGCCACATCATGTAGTAAATCGTGGAGCTCGTAGTATACTGGTACTGCGAGACTAATCTGAGGCCTTTTCTCTGAGACAAATAAGGTGAACTCATTGAATTTCGAGAGAACGTTGTAGAGTTGAGAGAGCCGTGTCCAGTCTTTCGTTGAGAAAGGAGGAAAATCAGTCTCATAATGGATAAACTTCTCTAGCTGTTGCCTTGACTATATTGTATTAGTATAAGATTAAGCTTATAGAGAGCTCGTATCTTACCTTTAAAGCATCCTCTAACATTCGAAACGTTGAATTCCATCGCGTATCCACATCATATTCGATGAACTTATCTGATAAGTTCATTCGCTTGCAATTGTTCCTCCATGCTTGCCTGCGTTGCGGACTTCGGTGAATCCAGAGGGCTAAAATCCGAAGCTTTGCAAGTGGTTCGATAGCCGGAAACGAATGATGTTCTCCATTATCCAGGTTATCACAGATAGCGGCAGCCTCCTCTGTATTACCAGACTTAAGCGTAAGTAGAATACCCTTCACGATAAGGTTAATAATATGAGCTAAACACCGTATATAACTTCCTAAACCACAGAATAAAGGATCAGCCCCACACGTCTTCTGTAGGTTTTGGAATAGTTGTAACGCCATCCGCTCATTATTACTAGCGTTATCTCCAGTAATTGAAAGTAGTTTATGCTCAAGGTTTAGCTCAATAAGCAAAATTTCAACAGCAGCAGCCAAATTCTCTCCACTATGTGGACCATGGAGCTCTGTGAACTCGAGCACTTTCTCTCGATATACAAAGTCTTCTGTGAGCCAATGGCCAACGATACCGAGAATTGGGATATGGTTCTTGCTGGTCCATACATCAAGGGATAGAGCGATTGTTTGGCATGTAGCTTCAAGCTCTTCCTTTAACGTAGTACGTTGTAAGTCAAAATCTTCCAAAAGACGCTGTCGAAGTGTATGACGAGAGGTAAATGGGAGTGTAGCCCCTGGTATATCCTTGAATATTTGCTGGAACCCTGGTGATTCGAGGACTGTAAAGGGTTGCTTGCTACTAGTTACCCAGCGAAGGAGATTCTTTTCAAGGAGCTCCTGCACTGTAAGTTTTCCCTTATTACCCCAGAGACTAACAATAGTCGACTTTGGTGTACCAGTAGCTAGATCAGTAATCCCAGGAGGTAGGATCCCATGCTTTTCTTTCAAATGAAGCCGAATGTTGGTAGTAGAGGTCTGTCGTTTTGAGTCTGTTGTGGACCAGTTGCACTGTTTCCTAGTGGTTTTGTTGATAACAGTACAACAGATTTCTCGATCAACGAGCCTCTTCCTTCCACTCCTTTTCTCCGTCCATTCGTTGGGAAATTCTCTGGTATGGAGATGTCCCCACATCCAGTCATTTTGCCGTGGATTTAAGATAAAGCTTTGCGAGCTACTAGCTGTGGTATATAGCTGCGAGGCAGATTCCGAAGGTAAAAGGTCATCGAAAGCTTCAAGAAAAGAATCGGTATTGCCACTGAATGCGGATTGACTGCGTGAAGGTAGCGGGGATGATAGGCCTGGCCCTTCTGGACCTTGTGCTGCTGGACTCCAAGCCAGGCTAGACGTCCAGTCTCCAGGCCGGACTTCGTCTTGATAGCCATCATTTAAACCGAGGTAATTTGGTCGGTTGCCACGGGTCTGCATTGCCAATTGACGAAATAGGTGAGAGGAGGTGAGAGGAATAGTAGAGATAATATTCTAGCATTCAAAGTAGAAGGATAGGGTGGAGCCATTAACTATATTATTAAAGGCTTTTTACTCCTATCACGCAAGAATCCTTGTATTATCACTAATTCAGTCAATATTTAGTCCATTGCGCAATTTCTGGTGCAATTGCACGTGATATATTGCGAATAACGAATAATTATTCGTATTCGCAACAGCCCTAAAATGAAAGGCGAAAGAGGGGGGTTAAGAGTGTAACCAGGAGGCGTTGACGTGGCTTGTCAACATGTGTCGAGAGATGTGGGGTGGTAACTTACTACTAGAACTGAATTGGCTTTTAGCCAGACCGCTCTTGTAAAAGTTTAATGTATGTAGGCTTGGTTTTACCAGGTGCTCGGAAACAGCAACATCTGAGTCCCGACTTCACTAGTGAAGGCACCTCAACGTGTCCTATACTCTAGTACATGAACGAGTCAGTCCTCGCTCGAATTATTCGTCGCCTGATTGGCCGAGCAGCCCTACTGTACTAGTCTCCTCAGAAGTGTCACCCAGTTCACACTTTTTTGTCCGTGCGTCCCATAGTCAAGACTTCTGTGAGCTGCAGCGACCTGTCCCGCCATTACAGCCCATATTTACTCCACTATGCTTTCCGCCCGCTAAATGTACTCTCCCTAACTCGTGTTAGATTTCCATCATCATTAATTAGATATGCTTCCCGTATACCTGGAAATCGAAGCTATCCCTAACCCGCACCTGTAACCTTTCGGATAGAAGTATTATTAGAACCGGTGCCAAAAACAGTTATCTATAGCAATTACGATAAGAAGTATCAAAAAAAGCAATATATCTTACATTTGGCACACGCGACGCGACGCGCTACTAACCACTACATAGGAGAGTGCAAGGTCTAACCGGCTTCCCTTAATTCACTGTTATCACTTTCGTTCTATAATTATTCTCTAAGTGTCACGGGCCAGTGCCCGATGTTGGTCACGTGTACCACGGGACCTTGGCATGTTGACGTGGAGAACGCAGAGGATAAACTTCCCCTCCTTAAGGCTTTCTGTAAACAGCATGTTGGCCTAGTTAGATTGAATTAAGTCTTGGTTCAGCCCTTCACACTAAGTTTATTCTAACCTCGTCGCCTCTTAATAACGTATCTAGCGCCACTTGGTTACCTAGTTTCTACGCGGGAATAGCCTTCGCTCCCCTTATACCTTGTAATGAGACTACTTGGCAGGGTAGCGGCCTGTCAGTCAGGTAAGGAAGAGAGGGCAGTAGTATGAATTGGTGCAAAGCTGTTTCTTGAGGATCCCTCGAGAAACCATTCAATCTTGGGGTATTTAATCTGCGATACACTGTGGCCTGACTGCCCCAATCTAGTTACATGATACGAGCTGAACTCCAGAAAAAGGAAAGGGTGGATTGTGTAACATGAGGGAGGGGTAGCGCGTGGGTGCGCAGACGGACCGGTCCCTCTCGATCCAGTATTGTTCTTTTCTCATGGTGGACCAACTCGCCTCAGATCACTTTCTTCTAGCAGGGACAATCCCGCTAAAAGTACCAAGCTCGTAGCCCAAAATCAGAGCCCCAACCAAGTCTAAAAGTCCGAATGTCAGGAACTCGAAAAATCCTTCTCTGCTCATCGCTCCTCGGCCTCGAAACAGCAAGTTAGCGCACAACGAGGTTGAGAGTAGGAGCCGGACGGGAACAGAGACATGGAGCCACTGATTATCCTTGATTGGCATATACGAGCTCAGGAAATAGGGCATCATCATTGTGCAGCTGAGGAGGCCAAGCAGGGTATTGGTGTCGGCAATACGAGGTGTTGTCACATCCGGGACTAGTATCTCACGACCAAGTGTTTTTCGGAGCGGAGCTTCGCGAAAAACTGCGACATAGAGACCCAAGCCCAATATAGATGTGCTTATAAAGACTGTATGAGCCGGAAGGTTGATGGGGCGGATATTGAGATTCATTTTCGCTTCTCAGGTCCTCTCGAAAGAAGTTGGAAATACGGAATCATTGAAGAGTATTCGTAGGGAATTTACTAGGTTTTGAATGTTGGTGACCACCCCGCGTCATGCACCGGATACGTCGGGACCAATACGGGATTTGTGTCACCAGGCACAAGTCTGTAACGTAATCCACGGCCAAGCGGTTAACACGGCCGAGCAGATAACCCCAAAACAACATACTAAATGCAATTTTTTATGTCACAGTATATCAACAACCAGAAGCATTTCTTCTTTATGTTTGATAGCATGGGGTTGAAATATGAGGTTGTGAACAATCGCAGTTGAATATGGTGTTTTGGGGTTAACCGCCCGGCCGTGGATTACGTTATGGAATTTGCTTAACTAATAAATGAATATGTTATGATATACCCTGGCATGAGGTTATTCCAAAGTGTTGGTGCCTCAGGCTTCTCGGAGCACACGGAAATGCTGCTTAGTAAAACATGGTGCGCACCAATTGGATATCAACAAGTCTGAATTGCTATAAAGCCCCTATCTGGCAATTTATGTGGGCATAAAAATGACTAATACTGTGCATGCGGGTTTACAATATCCCTTCTCCGGGATCCACTGCTGCTTCTGTTCCGACAGGAGCTGATAAGCCGGCAGGCTTTCTGTGGAGGTTCGCTGGGGCTTCGTCAACAGTACGGCTACGAACTTCTGCAGGGAACACCCTTGACTAGACCTCGACAGGAGTCGCGACTCTCCAGGTCCGGTCCGGTTCCAGAACCGCCAAGACCCGGTTCAGGTTCTGGGTTTTTAGAACCGCGATTCTACACTTGGGCTCTTGGAACCGACCCTGCAGGTTCTTGAAGACCCTGCAGGTTCCTCAAACACTGCAAACTAGGGAAGCCCCGTGACCTGCATATTTTATGCAGTATTGGTCCGTATTTTCAAGTATTCGTCTTACATCTCTACACGGAAAGAAAAAATAGAATTGAAGCAGATTAGGCAGATTTTAACGCAATATAATAGCATGTAATTAAAATTCTATCTTATCTATAGCTTTTGATATTCATATTATCAACAATGTGACAGCTACGGAGTACTTGGAAATGGGCCAATCAGGGCAACGGAATCAAAAAGGGGAGATTGATACTGAATTGAGTGATTGAATGATTGATTGATTGATTGATTGAGGAACATGAAATGAGGGTGCTCATGGGGGTTGAAATACCTATGAGCTTACACGATAACGGGGATCCTCGGATGTTACAAATCCGGGATGCCCAGTTGCAACATATTTGTGTTGGGCAGACATACTTTAGTGTTATCTTATGCATGCAGGTAGATGTCACTCTGTATGTTGTATGTTGTGATAAGAGCGCCGATCTATTCGGGTTGACACACCCCCTTAGTATGGGGCGATCACGAAACTTGCTGGTAGAACTCACGGATACTCATCCAATCCCTTTAGTAGGTGGCAAATATCCTCCAGGCCTAGCATTTGCAGGAACTCGAGGTGCTTTTGACGAGGAAGGATCTTTGTAAGCCCATCCGCTATCATATCGGATGTCTTCATCCATTCGACTGAAATCCTTCCTGCTTGTACCTCTTGACGAAGCCAGTGGTGATGGATATCTATATGTCGCAGCTTGGTGCGAAGTTGAGGTGATTCCTTAGTTAATAAGGAGATAGTCTGCTGATTATCACATCGGAGGATAACAGGGTGACTAGGTTCGAAACGAATGGTGTCAAAAAGTCTCTTCTATATTGACAAGGACTTGCTAGCTTCGGACAGGGCGAGTAATTCGGCTTCGGTCGTGCTGGTGGTGACAGTCTTCTGCTTTGAAGCCTTCCAATCAACAGGTCTACCAAAAATCATGCAGATATATCCAGCAGAGCTCTTTCGATCGTGATTATCCCTGTATGACGCATCACTTATAAACTGCACCGACGGCGGAATCGTCTGCTTTCGGTAGCAGATTGTAAGGGTTTTAGTCGAATACAGATAGACTATCACTTGATCAATTACATGTAGGTGCTTAGGGCCTGGATTTGAGAGGAATTGAGCAAGGTATGAGGTGGCTTTTGCTGTATCTGGTCGTGTGATAATCGTGGGGAACTGAGCTGATCCGACCTTACTTATATATTCGTGGTGATGACTTGGTGAAGCAGTGCCGTTGAAGGGCTTTAAATTTATGATCGATTGTGGCAGGATTTCGAGTCGGCGATGTTGAGCTAAATGGTAGCGATTCGCTATTGCAGAGATGTAGGCATCCTGACATAGCTATAAAAGCCCTTTGGAACGGTCTCTGATAATGCGAATCCCCAGGAACCACTGCGCTTCGCCTATATCTCGTAACTCCTAAGCCTTGCTAAGTTCCCTTCCAATATCATCGGCCTCCTCCTTCGCAACAGGTGGGTTGAAAATGAGAATATCGTCAACGTAGAAGATAAGGAGAATATCTCCCTTGACGAACAGGCAAAGGTCTTCCTGCACTACTTTGAAGCCTAGCGATAGTAGTACTTGTGTAGCTTCTTCCTGCTAAAGCCTTGGGGATCTTCGTAGGCTATATAGAGCCCTCAGGAGCTTCTAGCACCTTCTGCCCTTCGTGAATATACTAGGGGGTAGTTCGACGTATATATCCTCCTTTAGCAAGGCGTTAAGGAAGGCGTTGACAGTATTATATTGGCGCGAATCGAGATTGAATTGGGCTGCGAGAGCGAAGAGTAATCGAGCTGTTCTTACAGCTAGGGTGGCTGAATACTTTTTATTATTGGTGACTTTCTGCAGATCTCCGCGAACGCAGATTCTGGCTTTGTACTTGACTAGGAACCTATCGCCATCAAATTTATATGTGAAAACCCAGGTAAGCGGTATTACTTCAAGGCCTTTATCGGTCGGTCGGTTAATTTCCTTAAATGTGCCTTTCGCGTTAAGTGCTTTCACTTCTATAGCGGCTGCGTAGGTGAACCCTTCGCTGTGTGGGTGCCTTAGCATTTCGGCCTAATTCCTTGGGGCAGGCGGTAAATCCTCCCGGTGGGGTCTTTTATTCGTGAACACCGCATTGAAAGCCATCAAAAAGCCCTTATGATACTCCTCCGGTTCCTCTTTAGCGGCCTTATTAGCCTTGGTCTGTGTGAAATGAGCCCTCTTACTGCTTCTAGTACGGCTTCCTTCGATGATATTATTAGTAGTGAAAGATCCTTCGATATCCCTCGGTGCGAGCTCTCCTCTAAGCCGATATCCTGGTGGTGGGGCTGTAGGTTGGTGGATAGTGTTGGATAACTTGCCTAGGAGCTGTTGATTAGGATTGACCTCGGTATCCAGGGCCCTTACCCCCTTAGCTTCGGTGCGATTAGTTGGAAATGCACCCGGCAGGGCTTCGTTCCTTGGTGCTGCGGGCGTTGGCGTCGGGGATGGGGTTATTATTAGCGGAGGTGTTGATTCGATGTGCTTATGTTGCGTATTGATCGGTGCGTGATCTATTGTTCTCACTAACGCTTCTTGATCCGATACTGAGGTCTCGTTCTGAGTTGCTGTTGGCAACAGGTTCGGTGTGGTCTCTAATGCGATGTTGTCGAGGTCGTATTGCGGACGTTCGTGCTCGGAATCCTTATATTGGAAGTCCTATATCGCGTCGTTTAGTATATCCTGTGGAATTGGCTGCTTGGCTTCGGTAGCGCTGTAGCGAACGTTTTTATCGAACACTACATTACGCACTTCCACTACCTTGTTTAATCGGGGTAACTAGATTTTCTAGATATTTGACGCCACAAAACTAACTAGGTAGCCAGTTTCCGCGCGTGCCGCTATTTTATCAGACTTCGCAATTCCTTGGATTCGTATATACGCTCTGCAGCCGTATAGCTTTATATTCGCCAGATTGGGGCGTAGCTCAATAGAAGGGTCTCTCTGCTTTATCGCTTCCACCCAAGGGATAATATACTTACCGGTGGGTATTTTGGTAGGCACGCGGTTTAGCAGATACACTGTAGTAGTGATAGCCTCCGGCTAAAGCTTCTTCGGTAAGCCTGATTCCTGAATGAGAGCCCTCGCAGTGGTGATGATGATGCCACTAGCACGTTCGATGAAGCCGTTCTGCTCTGGGGTGCCGACCACGCTGAATTCCACCGAAATCCCTGCTTCCGGGTAATACTTATGGAACACGCTGTGTAAGGTAGGCTCTCTATCGCTTTTGAGTACGAGGATATCTATGTTGAATTGACTGCGGCAGATAGCGATAAAAGCGATGAGTGTATTGATACAGCCGCTCTTCTTTTCGTGGGTTTGTGCAAGGTGTAGACGAATCCCTTCGCAATAGAGGTGAGAGATCTATTGATGTTGATTATACCTATCTTTTATATGCACTAGGTCGAAGTGAAGTCGTCTAAATTTCCTATGAATATGGGTCCTGCTAGCCGGCCTACGGGAGACTTGTCGCTGCGTTTTCGATTTCTTATATACTTCACACTTTTCCGGGGTTAATGCTGGGGATTCGGCGGTTTCTGGTTTGATTTTGATGCCAGCTGCCATTTTTTCCAACACTTCCAGGCGTTCTATGTTGATGTGACTAAGCCTGCGGTGCTAAAGTTGCTGTGTTGCGACAGATGTCAGAGGCTTCGCCGACTTTTTGAGTGTATTCAAAGCTATTGGTGCTATCAGCGGGTCTTCTTCTAACAAATACAGACCAAATCGCTCTGAACAGCTAGCTATTACACCACTTGAATTGGTGATCCAAGGGCCTTGGCTATTGAAGAAATATCTATGTTTCTTTATCTCGGAAACCGAGATGATATTAGTCTGGAAGCCGGGGATATACTAGACGTTTTGCACTGTCGTTTCAAATTTTCCTGAAGTGGGTCGAACGACGCTGATTTTTGTAGTTCTATGTCCTAGAGCGACGGATTTGCTAGCGCCCATCGCTATAATTCGTCGGTCAGGTATAAAGGATTCAAATGTATCGCGTCGGTTGTAGATATGGAGGTTGGCCCCTGAATCGACAATCCAGCACATTGAAAGTGGAAGCGTGAGAGCCGCTTTGAAGACATGAGACGAAATCGTTGCTGTGAAAAATGCGACTGTATCAGTAGGGATATTGCCTTCGTTAGTGATGGTTAATTGGGCGGTTTTGGCGATTGTCGGCTGAGTAGCCTCGCTTTTTATTAGGTTCTTAATTTCTCTTCTTTCTTCTAATCCGAGCTTCTTGATATTCTCTTCTATGCGTTTCTTGAAGTGCTCAGGGGTCGTCTAGGTCGAGGGTCTTATCGAAGGATTTATATGGTAACAATCCTTTGGAACATGACTAGTTCTTCCGCACACATAACTGAGTTTTGGTCGAGATGAGATGTCGTTACCACGCGAAGAGCTGTTACGACTATTCAGTGTGGCTGCGAAGGCTACTGCACTAATATTCTGCTTCGAAATATGCCTCGATCCTCGGTGGTTTCTGAAAGCTGAGAGGATATCCTGGAAAGCAACCTTCTCCTTTGGCTTTGCTTCTAAATCCTTTCTCCACAATTGCACGAAGACCTCATCGATCGCTTTAATAGCCTGAAGGAAATCGCGGATTGCATCTCTGTCTTCAGGGTTGCCGTCGTCGTCTTTGTACGCAATGTCAGGGATTTTTAGTGCCTTGCCCTCTTTATAGAGGTTTGACTAAGCGGCGAGCTATTTGTCTATGCTCTGTCCTTTGAAAGGTCGTTTAACTAGGTCTCGCTATGCATTTCGGACGCGCTGACGACGATTGTTACCCTGTGGGGCGAATTGCTGAGTGAGGCGCACAAGCTTCTTGTATGGAGTGTTTTTACCCTTAAGGATATGGCGGTGCTCAGGAGCGACGTTCTGATAAATGAGCGAATTAATCCTGTTGATTTTGTTTCTTAATTGCTCATTGAACGATCTCTCCTTGTCAAAAAGGTTGACTATCCTGATGTACAGCCCGTACTGGTCTTCATCTAGGTCCGATATATCAGTCGCATCCCTATGTACTTCAGAGACCTGAGGGAACGTATCTCTCGAATCAACTGGTTCTTTCTTCAGCTTATCCTCTGCAAGACTTGGGTTGATATAGTTCCAAATCCCCGCCTTCGTTGCTATAGCTTTAATATGGCCGATCCAAGATCTCCACTGTGCGTCAGAATGGAGGCGCTTATCCCAAAGGATCTCCGTTGCGTTCTGACTTGGAGTGTCTTGAACCAACGACATTGTGATGAGATAGCTATACTAAGCTGAGACAGAGGTACTGGTGATTGGGACGGGAAGGTTGAATTGAATTGAAAGCTTGAACTGATTTGCTTTGGCTGAGTACTCCCGATTCACCAGTAGGCTATCGGGCTCATAACTATCAACAATGTGACAGCTACGGAGTACTTGGAAATGGGCCAATCAGGGCAACGGAATCAAAAAGGGGAGATTGATACTGAATTGAGTGATTGAATGATTGATTGATTGATTGATTGAGGAACATGAAATGAGGGTGCTTATGGGGGTTGAAATACCCATGAGCTTACACGATAACGGGGATCCTCGGATGTTACAAATCCGGGATGCCCAGTTGCAACATATTTGTGTTGGGCAGACATACTTTAGTGTTATCTTATGCATGCAGGTAGATGTCACTCTGCATGTTGCATGTTGTGATAAGAGCGCCGATCCATTCGGGTTGACACATATAAATCTTCATCTCTTCGTATACGCTTCGGAACCCGCCCAGATGTACGCCTTTGGGTACAGCTATTCTCTGGAAGAGGTATCCCATCTTCTTCGTCTTCACTATTCCCGTCTTGTTGAATAAGCGGCGCCTGGGTACCAGGTAGAGCTGTTGCTGTTGGTTCGATTCTTGGTCTTTTACCAAGGACACTCTCATCGGCTACCTGATTCGGCTCAGATGTTGTATCAGTGTGGTCCTCTTCCTCCTCCTCCTCCTCATTATCACTAATCAGATCGAACACCTCCTCCTTCTTTTTCTGAGCCTCATTCTCTTCCTTTCTGGCATGAATCTCTTGTGTAGATAGATACTCATCAATAAAGGCCAGCTTCTCCGATTCAATATCAAAGCGAGTGGTACACATCATCATCATAAGATCCTGGATGGTTTTGGGCTTCAGAGATCCTCGGCGGTAGTGACAGATATCACGAGCAGAATTAAATAACCGCTCAACACCAGCACCAGATGCAGGAGTAGAAAGGACATCTCTTGCGAGGCTTGCGAGAATAGGAAGTTCATTCTGATTATCCTTCCAGAACACACGCGGATTAATCAGACGAGTACCTATCGGCAAGGTTAGTATATAACAAGTACGAGAGAGAACGTCCACTTACTACTACCCAGGTAACGCCTAAGCTCATCATCAACGCTCGTCTGAGACTGGCTAGATTGGGCAGTTGATACCATCAACTCTAGGTTAGAGACCTGTGCTGCGGAGGGTACACTACCACGCATAGGTTGGGACTGCAAATAACGCTTCTCATATGGGATGAGGTACTCCTCGAGACTCTTACGGTATCGAGGAGCCCACTCTAGCTCCCACTCTGGCTTCTGAAAGAATTCAATCTTATTCTGAGGTGCCATAATGGTAGCAATCGGATAGAGATCATCGCCAATATCGTCTGTCGCCATGTAGTACTGCGAAAGCTTTTTCCTTGCAAATTCAAGTGCTCTAAGCATCACAGTCTTCCACTTAGCCTGCTTTCGCACTAGCTGTCCCTGTGACTTCTCTAGGTGAGCAAAGAGGGCATTGTAGATGCCAAAGACGGTGTGGATAGTGATATCCCTGCTCTTTGAGACCTCATTGGTAAAGCTGAAGAACGGTTGGGTGATTGAAAGAAGATAGTCGACTTGGCGCCATTCCTCTTCGCTTAGTTGAAGATCTACCTGGTTATATACCCGGCAGAACTCATTGAACGTTGACTGTAGCCGTTTCGCTCGCCGGAGCATCAGAAAGGTTGAATTCCAGCGGGTTTTGACATCTTGCATCGGCACAAGCTTTGGCTCTTTGGTCTGGAGCTCTAAGAAATGCTCTCGGCGCTGGGGACTCTTGTTGATGTGGACGGCAAGCTTTCGGATCTAGTGGATAGAAGACTATTAGTAAGGTTAGAAAGATAAGTAAGAGGTAACCGTACCTTGTTTAGCGTGTAGATGATCTCATAATTCTCTCGGCGAGAGGATACGGTTCCACTAGTAAAATCCATCTCTTCCCGCTCATTCTTCGGATTAGCGTCCATCTGGCCAAGAAGCTCTTTCAGACTAAGCTGAATAACATGTGCAATACATGGCATGCGGATAACAGGTATATTGCTTGGTAGCTCAAGCCCCTGAATAGATCCCTTAAGGCGCTCCACCAGCGTTGAGTTATTAGACGCGTTATCAGTAGTAACGGTCAATACCCTATCCTCAACTCCATGCTTCTGCAATAGTGGGAAGAGAACTGCGCCAAGTTTTATACCAGTATGCGACCCATGAACAGGTTCAAAGCCAAGCAGTATCTCGCGGTAGTTCCAGTCTTGGTCAATGAAATACCCAGTAACTGCCATAAAGGCCTGGCGGAAAGGTGAGGTCCAACAATCTAATGCAATAGAGAGCTTCCCATCCTCAGGTAGCGTTTGAAGGAGACTCTGTTGCCGTTCTTTAACGATTACATGTAGCCGACGACGGATAGTAATCGATGTGGGTAATTCGGGCATACTTGGGGCAAGACGGATTGTTTCAACCAAAGCGCGAAACTGGGGGTGTTCAACAAGCTGGAACGGTAGTTGTAAGCTTGAGAGGAAGATGAGAATCCTTTCAATCCAGGCATCGTTTGTAAAGGCAGACTTTTGGGGTGCGAGATGTGTCTAATGTAAACCTAATATTATTATAAGTCGGACAGGTAGATATATTTGTTAACTTACCCCATTTTGGATGAGTCTTCGAATATCCTTTGACTGTGGTGTCTTTTTCCGACAATTAACACTCCCCTGGTAGTGTTTATTCATAGAAGACGTTCCTCGGTGACCATCTGCTGGGTGTGAAAGGGTATGATCGCATGTTTTGCACATAACCCTCGGTTCCCCATCAGAAATAGCAGCAACTTGGTGAAAATGCTTCCAGCATTCTGCTGTTCGTGCTCCACGCTTATCCTCGAACAGATTGCGGTTGATACGGCTACCAAACTCGGTTTTCAACCACCATTCGACAAATTCATTGTTCACCATCTCCGTCCACAATGCAAAGTTCTTCCTTCTTAGAGATCCAACGCGCTCAAGGATCTCTGGCGGAGATGCTGATCGAGGGTGAGAGAAAAACAATATCCGTAGTATAATCTGAAGTCTCGCCGTATAACGCATTAGGGGGGGAAGGATTGGACGCTATCGGATGGAAGGAAAGGTAGGTTATCTTGAGGTGTATCCTCGAAGATAGATGAGGGATACTGATCGGAGAACTGAGAGAGTTGACTCTGTGTCATTATGAATAACAGAATAGAGGTGTGAGGGAGAGTAGATAGACAGAAGAGACTTACAGAAAGCCCTATAACTAGGAAAGGATTTATCAGAAAAGTTAGCATACCGCGGTCGTCGCCAGCTGTACGAACGCGTGGATATTTCAATATAGACTAGGTCTACTGCCGCTGCGCGTGATAATTGGCCATTAAAACCTACACCGCCAGGTTCTCTCAGGTTCTTCCCGGGTCGAACTGGGTAGAACCTGGCAGCCCCGGAGGACCTAGCAGCCCCGGGGGTTGTAGCATTTCTACAGAAATCAGCCGACCGAAGACTTCAGCAGATACTGCGGCCAAGTAGATTAGCTACTTTGGAAGACAAAAATTGTTCATATTAGTAGGCCAATTTAAATTTAAAAAGCTGATGTTACTTCTGAGAGCTATCCTGTTCATTTGAGCATATTTTTAGCTTGTTCAATTGAGATTCTAGGCGTCTATATTATTTAAAGCGGTTCTACAGAGCTACATGAGGCAAAATATATATTTCCACTATCTTACACTACGATCTCTTTAGTATACTGTCTCCCCACCCACAAAGACTAAAATAAGCTTGAATCTAAAGGTGAAGTCATATTTCTAGCCGAAATAACTGACATACGAGATCATTTCATATAATTTCATGTACTAGCAAGGTACAGTCGAAGACCAGTTGATGCCGAAACCAGAACAGGTGTAAATAACAGTAACGTAGTTCCCGGCTTACCTGATAACCCGGTTAACCCGATAACCCACCCCCATTAGAAATTTTCAAAATCGATAATCGCAACCAACACCAATTAATCTAACTAGATAACACGATTTTTACATGAAGTAATCCTATGGCCAGTTTTTCCACATCCACTGCAGGTAGGCGGAGCCCTCCTGGCCGGTTGAATCGGCTGATTAGGCAGATCGACCTCCTCATGCGATACTACCTCATCAGCTTCTACTGGCTGAATTAGCTGCTGAGCTAGCTGTAGGCCCTCTTCGATTGATAGGCCCCCTTCGTGTGTAATCCGTCTAGTCGATCGAGTGCGCTTTTGACGTTTTTTTTCATTCGTTGCGCGTAGATCGGCGTTCTCCTTCACTAATAAAGCAGTGTTGTGTAATGCTTTATAGTGGCCCTTAAGAATCTGATCAACCACTAATTTCAACGGGCTTGGAGGGCTTTTTGACCGCCGATCTATTAGATCTTTCATCATTTTAGCCTGCTTTTGTAGCTGGGCTACTGTTCTAGGCGTTTCTAGTGTGAATTCGCTAGATCTGCTGCTTGGTCGGCTTAATGGGGGTGAAGGCGTTCGAAGAGATATAGTAAGCTTAGAAAGCACCCTTTCAGCATTAACTGGTACAATACCAGCAGCTGCGAAGCTATTCTGAATAATATTCGGCTGAAAAGCTTCTAGCCGTGCGCGTGGGTAGTCAGCTAAAAAATCAAGCTTGTCGATATGATTATAGCCAGTTCGGGTTAAATCGCTCACGAAGCGACTGTACGCACGCTTTAGCACTGCGAAGCACCCAACATCAAGCGGTTGTAGTAGATGTGAAGAATGCGACGGCATACAGAGTGGTATAATATCATTTTCGACACAGATTCGATCGAATTGAGGCGTAAGATGGCTACCGTGCCCGTCAAGGATTAACAGCCGAAATCGCCCTCGTACACGCGAATTAGTGTACGGAATAAAGATCTTTTGGAGCCAGCGAAGGCCGATTTCATCGGTAGTCCAGCCATTATCTGATACTTCGATTCGCCAATCCCTAGGGAGATTTGATTCAAACCAACCAGCGATATAAACCGAGCCTTTGAATATAATGCAGGGCGGCAGCGAATAGCCGTCAGCGCATATAGTTTCGATCGCGGTGACCCATTCGCGATTTCCTGGCTGTAGAATTGATCGCCGACCGTAGTATTCTGCTCGTGTAACCACCTTTTGCGATGATATAAGGCCCATTGCGAATCCAGTCTCATCAAAGTTGTAGATATCCTCTGATTGGATACCGTTCTCCTCAATCGCGCGTTGTACCATCGAAAACCACTCGTTTATAGCCTTTGGATCCTCGTTAAGAGCGCGCTGATAGTCATATCGCTTAGAGAAGCATGATCGAAGCTCATCGCGCCGTTGAACGAAAGAAGATGGCCAATTTTTGCCAACAGTAGCCGGTGGGCTCTCACCACGCGCAGCTAGTAGAATATTGGCCATATCGCGTACGGTAGAGGGCCTAGGGGCTGCACCACGCGTATCCATAGATATAATCCACTCAGCTAGCGAATCCTCTTCCAATTGGGTCAATTTATGACGATGCCATCGTGTATCGACGCGTGGGGCTACTCCGGAAGAGCGCGCATGCAGGGTAGCGTAGGGTATATCATATAGCTTCGTCGCTGCGTGTAAAGATTTGATTCGACCCTCTTTAATATCTTGGAGGGCTAATTGAATCTTGCCCTCCTGATTGGCCGATTTTAGCCAGGATTCAGAGCGGATTGGTGGCATGGTAGGTGGTTGAAGTTGGTGTGTTGGTAGGAAGACGCGAATTTGGAGGGGGTTATCGGGTTAACCGGGTTATCAGGTAAGCCGGGAACTACGTTAACTATCTTCTGTAAGGCAAAGAGTATGGGTACTGTAAGAGAGCATTAATACCCCGCCATCCTTATAATCAGAGGAGGGTCTCGTTACTCGGCTTCTGATTGGTCAGCCGCTTTTCTCCTTTCTCCACCTTGGAGTAAAATTGATCTTCCACTTTACGAATAGTTCGAGACCCAGAGCCATTCAACTGTAGCTCGTCAGAGGGAGAAATCAGCCGGTGAGAAAATGAGCCAGGTCAGAAAATTAGCCAGGCGAGGACAGGGAGAACATTCGGAGAGGGGGAAAACCATGGAGGCATATTTTGGATGACCATGGGGAAATGGCCTCTGATCTTGTTGCGAAGCTTGTTGAACAAAGGATATGCTATGGGCAAATGGATGTATTCTGTTTTCTACTTCAGTTGTATGACTTCAAGTTGTAGTTAAACTACTCTTGGATGAGTAGAGTTGGAGGGAACTGCAAAAATATGGGGAAGTAGATAGCTCCAAAGTGGAGAGGCGTACTCCAAAGTGGAGAAAAGTATACCAAAGGACAACCAATTAGAGGCTTACCGGCTGCTTACGTTGTCATACCCAAACCGGCGCCCAGATAGGTTTGTTATTAAGAATTTAATCCTTTAACTATGGCAGAACGGAGACTGGTCCGGAATGCGGGGGGAATTCACGAAACTTCAAAGCAGAAATTTATAGCAGTTCAGGTCAAAGCGATTGCGTGATCAGACCTCTGCACTCATTCCTAGACTTAGATATAGGCAACCGCCCGGCAATTCTCTAGGGTTGAGACTGTAACTATCTCTGTCAAAGGCAACTTTCGCCTAGGCTGAGGATCGCGCCTATGCCACCTGCCTCTCCACGGATTCTTTAGAGGGCATCATACTGAAATTCTGATTTCCCTGCGCCTCAAAATAGTGCCCGTCAGCGATTTTTTGCGTGCCGTCACTGAACAAGTTGTACTGGCGATTATTATCGCCATACTGATTGGCAGAGTTGGGATGCTCGGCCAGATCAGACTCGGCAAGTGATGGGGTCGCTTTCGCCAGCTGCTCTCGAGCATCTGCCAATAGCTTGACCTGCATTTGTATCTCCGTCGGAAACATATGGTGTGAAACAAGAGCTTCCAGATTCTCCAAAATGCCGTCCATCAATGTCTCGACACGACGCTTGCCTTGCTTAATAACAAGTGCGCGGTACACAGAAGAGTCGTATTGATCCTTTGAGTTCTTCGCGATTTTCTTGAAGATCTCTAGCAGCTTGTCGGCCTTCTCATCGCAGCTATAGAGGACAGTCTCTAACGCCTTGGCCTCCTTGGAGAACTTGAGTTTCTTTGCCGGGCTCTTCGCATCTCGAAGGGTTTGTTCCATGAGCGGAAGCACTTTGTTCACTTCTTGGAAGGCTTCCGGTAGGCCACGGAGGTCTTTAATGGGGTCGTAGGCTTCCGCTATGCCTTCTACAACCTCGATAAGGCCTGCAATATGGTGAGAGATATCTGGACCTGACATTGCGGGCTGCGATCTTGAAGGACGTTTGATTAGGAAAACCCAATCCGGGAGGAGATGTACAGAAATTAATATCCTCCGTGCGAGCTTGCGGCCATTTCCCTCTGTCAGGGCGACCCTAACGGAAAAAGGGGGTGGATAGCGAGTCGGGAAGTCGGAAGAAGGCAGCAGAATTACGCATACGTGTTTGTGACCCTTCTTCTAATTACACATTCTTGACTGGGCAGCAGACGTGTTGTGGCATATAGCTGATCACATCTTTAATTTAGCGCCTATGTTCCCTTTTCGTCTGAATTTACAGTTTATCCCCCTACGCGCTCCCGAAATAGCGTGCCAGACTTGAAACCCACCTGTTCACCGCCACCTTGTAATCGCTTCTACGAATGTCATTCGTCGCTAATTCCGCAGTAAACAAAGACGTAGCCAGGTTAGCTCGTCGTCACCAAGTACCCTCTTGTCGCTTGTGATAGATACTGTTGTTATTTCGTTTGCGCGTCCGCGTACACTGCACTGACCTAATCAACGGAGGATTCGACTCGGAAGGCCCGACCGTATCGCAATGTTTCCATCTTCGCTGATGGCCCATGAACATCCAACCAGCATTCATCCGAGACCGAAGGACTGATCATAATCCCTTGTATATGAAGAATTCTGCACCAAAGAACTTGGGGCGAGACGCCGGCGTTCCAGCCCCACGGTTGTGACGACCTGCGAAAAAACCGTTCCGATCCATCATAGCGCCGCGCAACGACCAATGATGCAGATTTAGGCTGGCGCTTCGTCTCAGAGCATACATTGGCGGCAGTGCTGGTGAATGGCAGAGCATTTCAGGTTGGAATTAAAATAGATCTCTTAAAGGGAGTAAGGGAAGCTAGTCGTCGAGGATGTAAGCCTGCTATTTCAATCAGTTTACACTTTTTCAAGACGTGCTTTAATCTGTTATATAAGTTATTGATTTGGATTTTGACGGCTGAAGAAGACACCATCATGAAGGGTGTAGCTAGGATAAAACGATTCCTGCGCCGACCACGAGCCGTAACCAAAGATCAGGACATCACACCCCAGCGACCATCAAAAAAGGCCTTCCCAGCCGGTCTCAAACTTCTTTACAGCCCAAATGACGGGGCAATAGAGTATGTGTACGGCTATATTTGGAAGCAGTCCTGATTTTTCTCACCCAGTATTGTCTTTGTCCATGGCCTAACCGGTGATCGTGAAGCGACATGGACCGCCCGTGGAGCGACCGAACCTTGGCCCAAAACCCTCCTCCCAACCATGCTTCCGACAGCCCGCGTCCTTACTTTCGGATACGACGCGTATGTGGCAGACTGGAGAGGCGTAGTGTCGCAAAGTCTTATCGCTAACCACGCGTGGAATCTACTCACTTCTCTTTCATCGTACCGAGAGAACGATGCGACGGTAGGGCAGCCAACTATACTAGATATCTCAATGTATTGACATACTCAGAATGAACGACCGATCGTATTTGTCTGCCATAGCTTAGGGGGACTGGTTTGCGAGGATGTACGATACAGTACCATCTTTAGTCCGAGGGCTGCGCTAATGCTCATAACGGGCCTTATTCACGTCAAGACAACGACCGGAACCACATCTACACAATATTCTTCGTTCCACCCTCGGTATTATCTTTCTCGGTACACCGCACCACGGAGCTGGTCTTGCTAAATGGGCCGAAGTCGTTTCCCGATCAATCGGCCTCGTCAAGCAGACGAATCCCGATATCCTTGAGGTTCTTAGACGCGATTCTGAAGTACTTGCGCGTATTCAAGACGGCTTTCACACCATGGTCAAGGCACGAAATCTGGTAGAACCGCCGCCGATTGAGGTCACTTGCTTCTACGAGGAACTACCTGTGCTTGGATTTGGTTTAGTAGGTCACTTAACGCCATAGCTTTCCCCAGATACTGACGCTTAAGTACTAGGTTGTGCCACAAGATTCGGCCATCCTGCCGGGTTACATCCCCATTGGAATCCACAGCAACCATATGGATATGACGAAGTTCGCCAATGTCGATGACCCTGGATTTGTGGCTGTTTGTGGAGAGCTGCGTCGGTGGATTAGAGGAACTAATGCACACAAGAAACGCCAAACGAATCCGTCACTCGTTGAGCAGCCAAGTCTTGCAGCCGGCCAGTACGGTGATAATAATCGCCAGTATAATCAGTTCGGTGAAGGGGCGCAGAAGATCGTCGACGGCCATTATTTTGAAGCGCATGGAAATCAGAATTTCGGTATGGTGCCGCCCAAGGAGTCTTCATAAGGAACGCAGCGTAAGAGGCAAGATCTCCTTGGCCTGGAGGAGATTGATGATTAGAGTGATACTTCAACACCTTCCGAGGGCAGAGGAAAGCCTTAGACGATCACACGCAGTCAATCTGCTATTCGTACGTCGATCTACCGATATATATTTTTCCGTCGCAGTTCACGGAAACACTAAAAGGGAAGAGATGATTCCCCAAGGTGGAGAAAGGAGTAGCGATCAGCCAACCACAGAAGTCCAAATCTAATAAAGGCGAGATCCCTTAAATTGTTTCAAGAATTTCCGCCCTTCCGGCGCAGGTGATCTTTCCTATCGAAGAAACACCAGGAACGTAGCCGACCCGGCCACATCCTCCCTGCCTAACTGCAAGCAAACCCCACTGCACTGTGTAGTGTGCAAGAACAAAAGAAGCTCCTATATCCCTGACGCTTCAGAGGTTCGAGCTTACTATAATCATGCTGCCCCACTACAGGACAGCGAGCATAGATCAATTGGATATGGACACACTGTCGATGCTGGTGGTAATCACCGAAGCACAGCCACGGCGCTAATCTGGCGAATAATTTGCGGCACGTGATATACCTGAATAAGAAACGGGCGGGGCAGGTATTTGAACATGCCCGCCCTTGGTTCACAGATGGACGTTTCTCCTTATTTTATTTCTCCCTCTCTCAATAGAACTACAAAGACGTCTTGCAACAAACTTGCGCGATGGCGGATCCATTGAGCATTACTGCTTCGGCACTTGCTGTTATTACAGCTGCGGTTCAATCAACGAAATCACTATACGATGCTGTTTCACGCTATAGGGGTCGTGACAAAACCCTTGGAAGGCTTCAGGACGAGCTCCAAGATCTTGGCAAAATTTTGGACGCCTTGAAGGAAGTTCTTGATACGGAGACGTCAATGTTGCAGCTCCTGCATGGGCCGATTGATCGATGTAGCAAAGTTTGCCGTGAGTTCGAACAGTCCATGGAGTCATTTTGGCGGAAGTCGAAGACGGGTATTCGAGATTGGACCAAGATGGAATTCATGAGAGGAGATATCCATGAATTTATAGACACTATATCTGGTTATAAGTCGACAATTTCCGTCGGTTTAGGAACACTGAATATGTTGGTCAAATCTGCTTTGCTCTATGTGCATTTCTAACGCGCTTGTTAGACACAACGCCAAAGTGTCCCAGCAAGTCCTAAAGCAGTACAACGAGATGATTCAGGACACGTCCTATAACCTCGAGGTGCATCTGCAGCGAATTGATGAGAAGTTGGAACGGGTTAATAACGACAGCATACGGACGTCTGATTCAACCATCGGCTTAGATGACGAACGAGAAGTTACCAAACAGTGTCTCCGTGTTTGCGAAGATGCCAGACAATATATCGAATCTTTAGCAAACCGGAAATTCTCGCTTCTGCAGAACCGACCACAAGACAGCGCTAAGGACAATGAACAAGATTGGTTCGAAGCCGAATTACTCACACGTCAGGCCCTGAACGAGAATCACGATAACTTCTCGGCAATCATCAATCAACTTCGGGATCGACTAGAGAGCCTCGTCTTGAAAAACAAACCTGATGATGAGAAAGAGAGGTCTCGTTTACAAGAAGATATCAATACCTCTATGCAGTGCTTAGAGGTATGCAAAGCGGCAAAAGAAGTTTCACGTCAGAAGATATATAGAGTCGGAGAGGTCATTGCGGACGGTGACAGCGACCAAGTGGTGGTGACTACTTTGGCTGATCTGTTTGATGTCAAGAAAGCCGTATCTAAGGGCAACTCGGCGCAACTGGTTGGTTCAATGACGGAGGAAGCACTTCACCATTTGACAGACAAGCGTTATAGCAGTCGATTTGGGTCTCTTACGCTAAACTCTGCTGAAGGATATAACGCCGGGCTGCCTTCAGCAGCCGAGCCGAAAGGGGCTCGTCCAACGTTTGCTGCTCAAGCAAGTCACGGCGAACCCTCTCCCGAACTGAAAGGAACGCATGCGAGGCCATGTTCCAATGACAGGAGAAAACGGTCAATACTGGATGGATAAACTCATGGCGCATGTCGAGATTCACAGGTTCCGGAAAAATAGGTAGCAGCCATGCAGGCTTCATGACTCGAATAAAGCTCCCCTGCTCCCTATTCGACTAGAAATATACAGCTCATTTACCCCGCTCGTTCCTCATTTCGCCGCTCATTTTTACCTGTGTCAGAGTAACGTGGAACAGTCTTGCGTCGGCCCGGTTCCGTTCACGGCCCGGGCGATCATCAGCACCACACATAAGCTTGTCGGATAAGCTATCTCCATGATAGACACCCAAGAACCGAAGAGAAAGTAGTTACTTGTAGTAGTCCATCAACTGACTCATTGCATTTCAATGACTGACACTAAATTGCCATTCACTGCACAGATGACGTGTTCCGGCCGCTTTGCAAGACAACTCATACTTGCATTACCCTGCTTCTCCCCACTCCCGGCTATATCAGATGTAGTCAGGCCTTCTTTCCCTTTTATCTTTCATGTAATTCTTCTAAACCTCCAAGGATCACTTGATAGCCAGCAAAGTTACAGTAGACCAAAAAATGGCAAAGAAGAATACGAAACAGCGCAAGTCCAATGAGCTGCCCGGGCGACCCCTCACCCCAGAGATCTCTCCCAAAATTGACTATCATCGGCCTTTGTCATCGTGAGTTCTTTGAATAAGTACCAACCAGCATTTTCTGACTTATTTACTGGCCGTACGAATCCCCTCTGGTTACCCTCATTATAGGAAACAAGCGATATGGCATTCCCGCTCATTTCCTTCGGAACTACCCAAAGTTTGCTCCTTCAATACTTGGATCATCGCCTCTTACCTTGTCCCATGTTGACGAAGATATTGGGCATACTGTGGTACACTTCTTATACACAGGCGGCTACGAGACGGTCAGCCCGCCTCTTGGCGGGGGCACGTCAGATCTCGCTAGAGAGTACAAGAGGAGCGTTTTAGTCTACCATGCATCAAGGACTTGGGGTCTTACTGATCTTGAAGACCTTGCCCAGCAAAAGATGCAGCACTTTGATGAGGAGCTTCCTCTTATTGAAATACTGCGGGTCATGAGGGACGTTTTTCCAAGCCTCCCTGCGGGTGAAACTTGGCTTCTGGGTTACATTCAAGGAAACTTGCAGCGACTACTAAGGCCTAATGATCCAGGGCTTGGTTTACGCGAATTTTACGATATCATCGGCCAAGACCAGCAGTTTGATAATGCGGTGATGAAATTGATTATCGATATACTATCTACTCGCATATTTTCTATGAAAGATCAGCGCAGTAAGCCACTTCCAACAAATTAACGATATGCTGATTAGGCTGAACCAACCGTACATCGTTAGTGAAGACACCGAACGGCATTATCTCGAATGAATCTCCTCTTCAAGGGCCTGCCTCCGAAGGGCCTGAGCCTGCGCCAGAAGAGACCGAGTCTTTCATCAATGAGCTTGAGCCCGTCCCAAAAGAGACTGAATGTTTCCCTGAGCCTGCGCCAGAAGAGACCGATTCTTTCATCGAAGAGCCTAAGCCCGTCCCTGAAGAGACTGGATGGTTCCCTGAGCCTGCTCCAGAAGAGACTGGTGCTGAAGGAGATAGCGAACAGTGGACTATTCCCCAAGTGCCTGCTCCTGCTGACGGCTGGCCGCGCGCTTCTTTGTTACCGGGGGTTACGCCTGACACCGAAATACTACAAGAGGCTCCTGATCAGGGCCACATAGCGCGGGTTTCATGCTCGGACTTAAATCTGTATGAAAATTGGGGAAGCCTGTCTTCGAAGAGAAGAGCTAAAAGGGCTAGCAAGCTCAAGTCTAGAGGACTTCCTCTCCCAAGCGAGACTGGTTTCATTTCAATAGTTGCAGATTGAGAGTGAGTTAGGGCAGCTTCAGCCAGGCAATCAAAGCATTTACTCCCTATTCATGAATTCGTAAAGTACGAAAAAGAGTCAAAGGGGTACACACACACAATTCATTAACGCCCGGCGGCTAAGCCGAAAGGGCAACTGAAACTGATCTACCAATACAGGTCCTTATATACATATGCTGTGTCTCCTTCGAGCCCATACATGGATCCTTGCAGTATATGTCCTCTCAGCTATCAATATCATAAGGATCCTCGTGGGTTAGTAATTTGGTTAGTAGACTGGCTTGAAGGCGCTTATTCAAGTGTTCAACATCCTATCTTCGGCAGTTGAAGCGCGTCCACCAATTCTGGCACAAGGTGGTAGGTGTGGGTTGGTGCGTGGGAGGGTGTTATAATGTTGGTCGACGTGGTTAGGTGGCGTCCAGACGGCCCGTGGCGATCGCGAATCGTATTGAGGCTCGCACAGCTTCCAAGTTCGGCGTCCAATGCTGATCATCAGAGGGCGATTTCCCGCCTAGAAAGAAGGAGAGATTGCCCCGGTGAGTTTGGCTACATTGCAGTAGTGCCGTTCGTTGTGTGGTCCACTTCCGACAGCGGAAGAGGAAGTGTTCCACGGTCTCTCTTGCTTGTCTACATACACACTGGTCTGTGTCCGCGACGTTGATCCGATAGAGATAACCATTGAGTCTGGCCATGCCAGTCCGGAGTTGGGCTAGCACACTCGCTTCCTTCCACGATAGCCGGTTATACAGCTGTCGAGTATGTTTTCCTGGAAGTGCTGCATCCACTCGTTTTACGTGTCTCCCTACGTTCTCTGGCAAGCCATTGCTAGTAACTGCTTGGGACCGAGCGATATTCAGTGTTGTCGACTTTATCCTGGGGACAGATTCTTGCGGGACGGTATCCTTCTGGGTCGCGGTCCTGGCCTGTTCCTTGGCTAGACCTAGCAGTTTATTGTCCTTATTGGTGGGGACCCACCGAATATTGATATGGTTTCCCTTTCTTTGCAGTCTTTTTATTAACTTGTATGTTTGGCGGACGAACTCCTGGCCCGACTGCTGTCGAGGGTTCCTTATCGTGAGGGCCGCTGCTTTGTTGCTTGTGAGCAGCGTGATCCTGTAGTCTTCCAGTCCCACTAGCATGTTCAACGTGTGCGCGATTGCTGCTAGCTCCGCGGAGAACGGATTTTGCTCTGATCTTGCGCCTAGTGTTACCGAAAAGCTCTTCAGTTTCAGCTTTCGATACTGAGGTGGCTGTTTCTCGATCGCTACCCCGAATCCTACGAGCTCGTTCCGTGCCGAGCTACTGACCGCGACTTGTATTGATCCGCCTAGTACATTCGGTGAGTCCGGCATTGCTTCAACACCGGTCTGCATGCGTGTCTCCTATGGTGCTAATGTGAACGAAGTGATGGTTTCTAGTGTCTTTATCTCAATGTTTCTTAGCGCGTCCGCTACCTGGTACAGCGGTGAACGATGGTATCTCCTAAATTTCTTGATGCAGGCTGTACTCCTACGGAGGGGATTGGTTTCTGGAAGGGTGTGGATGTCCGTCTACATTTTCACGGTCCGTCTCCAGAACCGGTGTTGTGCAGCGGCAATGTGAGCCTCTGCCTCTGTAACGCTAGTCGTAACTGTGAGCAACGTCCCTATAATTACTTGCGCTCCTACCCTTTGAACTCGGTTGATCGGTCCGCTGGCCTTGTCCTTGCAAGCGTGTATCCAGACGGTAGAAGCGTAGTCTACCGCCGGGGCTACCGTCGATGTGAATAGCTGGCGTGCCGTTGCTGGGGTTAGACCGCGAAGTCGCCGAAGCTCTATCGCTGCCTCTAAGCCTTTGGACGCTGCCCTCGCGATATGTTCCTTGTACTTGAGTCTAGTGTCTATGAGAACGCCTAAGATCTTGATATGGTCTCTAGGCACTACGGTCTGTCCCTTGATTGTGAAAGGCCCCTGGTCTGTTTTGTGAACCTTGGGAGCGAAGTGTATGATGGCTGTTTTGTCTGCCTTAAACGTCGCTCCGCTCCTTTTCTCCCAGTTGAGTGCGTCGTTGATAATTATTTCAATACCTTCGCGATTACTGTGCCGTTGGCCCCGTCACCCACGCGGTGAAATCGTCTACGAACGCGATTGCTCCGCCCTGGCTGTCGATCTGTTGTTGTACGAGGTCTGCGTTGAAGAGGAGGAACAGGATCGGGGATAGTGGCGAACCCTGCGGCAGTCTAGCCTGTGGCAGGCTTTGGACCTCAGATAATTGCCTATTGATTTGGATAGTTGCCGTTCGCTCCGAGCAGAACGTCTCCACCTACCGGAGCAGATCCTCTGGTATGCCTCGCGCTTTTATCCTCTGAAGCAATCGTTCTTTATATACTCCGTTGTAGGCTCCCTTGACATCGAAGCTGATTAAGCTCAATACCCGTCGACTGCGCCACGCCGTATAGATTTGCTCTTGCAGAAGCACGAGTGCTTGCTCCGCGGACCGCTGCTTTCGGGCTCTAAAGTGGCTGGTCGGGAGTAAGCCGTACGTTTCCACTGCGTGTGAGATCCTTTCTGCAACTACTGATTCCAGTATCTTGCCTAGTGTTGCAAGGAGTGAAATTGGTCTCTATGCTTTGGCTATGCTGTAACTTTCTTTATTTAGCTTTTTGAGCGGTATGATCTTTGCGTGTCTCTACTGCCTTGGCAACGTGCCTCCTTCTAGTGAGGCTTGGAAGAGATCAAGAACCCTGTCCCTGACCGTGGGCCACGTTATCTTCTAGACTATCACCGGCAGGCCGTCTTCGCTAGGCGCTTTCTAAGACTTCGCTGCCAACAGTTGCCGCTCTACCTCCTCCATCGTGATAGCTGGTATGTCTACTAGTGCTCTTTCTGGTCTCGTCCCTTCATCGTCAATAATCTCCGGCAGAGAAGGGAAGAATGTGGTTAGCAATTCTTCTGCTTGCTCCTTGTGATCGGTGGTGGTCGTTCCGTCTGCTCTCAGGAGCTGCGGGACCTTCCTAAATGCTGCGTCATCTCCCGAGTTCAGGTATTTAGCGGCTTTCTATATATTATCGTTGTCTGCGAGGAATTCATTCTAGTGCTTTTTCTTTTGTTGCCGAATGGTATCGTGGTATTGCTTCGCCGCGCCTTGGGCTATCTCTTCTAGATGAGGTACCTTTCGTCCCGCGCGTCGCTCCGAGCGGGCGTGATTTCTCTAATATGTGTATATTTGACGGAGCTGCGTCAAGTTATTTGTCCACTATCGCTTTGCGTGTTGTGACGGTTTGGCCTTCGGCGTCAAGGTGTGCACCGCTTCCTAAACCGCAGATATGAGCCGATCGGTTTTCTGCTGCACGGTCCCTCCTAACGGAGTGGCGGCTAGGGCGTTCGCAATCCTAACATTGATCTTTCTCTATGGAGCGTTTTTCAGCAGGAGCCGGTCCTGATGCTTTGGCGGCGTTTATGAGGCATCGAATACGGTCTTAATGGTGCAGTGATTCGACCTATGCTCTGTCCTAAGTATGGCACACTTAACTATGGAGTCTGTTAGGTTTTCCGAGGCTAGGACGAGGTCGATCGTGGACTCGCAGTCCCCGCTCTGTCCTGCACTATGCTATGTCTTTGTGCCTCGTTTGAGTAGACTGCTGTGTGCAAATTCGTTTATGAAGTCGATGATTGGGTCTGCTTTACCTTGCCTTGCTAAAGACACGTCGTCTCCTCCCCAGAGTTGATCATGACGGTTAAAATCTCCTACAATGATGATCTCTAACGCTGTGTCTGTGTCCTGTCGTACCTCTGTGATCGCTTTGCTTAGATGGTCGTATGTTTCGAGCAATGCCGTAGTATCTCCTCCCTCCACGTAGACTGATGCTATAAACATTAGGCGCTCGGGGAGGCGGATGACCGCCGCGGTTAGATCCGGCGACTCGATCTGCACTTGCTCCACTTCTATATCCTTATTGATCCAGAGTATACTTCGAATCGCCTATCGGCCTTCCCTCTAGATAGAGGGAACCAGTTTCGTCTATTTGTGATGTCCTATTGGGGTTGTCAAAAGCCGGCTATGGATTCTCCTCGCTTGGGGTTCTTGAATCGCTAGTGCTACTGCCCCCTGGGTTTCTTCGTCGTTTATCAAGCTGTTATATACCGCTCCCTGTTTCCTTATATTCAATTGGATTATTCGGAGGGTTTATTTATGTCGTGACGGATAGAGTTTCCGGCAATTTTTGCTGTACGATTTATGTGGGCCTCTGTATGGGACGCACTTTAGAACCGTTTGGTCGTAGTTACTGTGGCGATGGCCCTCCGTGGCGTATTTTGCGCACTTCTGGACGTTCTTACACTGGAACGCCTTGTGGCTAATCTCCTGGTAGTTGTAGCATTGTATCGGTCGTGGTCGATATTCAAAGGTGCTGGTCACACCAGACTCTCCCCTAGCGTGAAAGAACCCGTCGGCCAGGAGCCTCCGTGCGTCCGTACCTTTGGTAAGGTAAACGACTATTGACCTATAGGCCTTCGCACTCTCCTTGCTACTGAGCTATGCGATCTTGGCCACGGTAGCTTCGTTCTCCTCGCTGAAGGCTGCCGCAGCTCCGGCTCGGATCTCATTATTTTCATCTAGCACTGCGGCTTTGTTGACGCTATCCACTTTGATCGGGTAGAGCTCGTTACGGAGTACCCGGGCTCCTGCACCGATCTTTGCCTCCGCCACTTTCTTGACTAACTGGTGTTCGGCTTTATCGCGACACGCTATTCTGATCCGGTTCGTGTTCTTCGGGTCCACAGTGACAGCGCGACAGCGCTAGTGTATGTGGCCTTCTATCGTCCGAATCTCTGTCTCAACCGCCGCCCGGATTGGGCCTGCGGATATCCTCTCGTTTCCATTTTCTGCTATCCTCGAGGTGTCTATTGTGCAATACAATGTGTCGGTGAACGTGGTCGGTGTTGTATTTGACGTTGAGAGCGTCCGTATGTTACTCGGGTGACTAAGTGGAGGAGTCCGGGCGATATCTGTATAGGACGGGGAGCCAGTAGGAACGGAAGGGCTGATGGCATCGCGCAGGGATTGAATCTCGCGGAGGATCTTATCGTGGTTGTTCTGAGCGGATGCCTCGGCGTGGGATTGCGGTGTCAGGGGTCTATCCGTTAGGGTCTGTAGCTCGTGTCGAACTTCGGTAAGGGCGGCGCTGAATTCATCTTTAACCTTTTAAAGCTCTTCCTTTTGCAATTCATCGCGTCGCCTGATCTCTCGCCTGAGTTTAATGAGCTCTTTCACGAGTGTGGCGGTGTTGAGGTCCTCACTCTCCGTCGCGGAGTCGTCCGAAGTGACCGCGTTATCTTCGGTTACTGGCCTATCTTGCGTTTTCTTTCTCAGTTGAGAGCGTGTCGTTCTCTGGTTATTGTCGATCTCTTGATCCCGAGCATAGTTACTGGGTGGTCTGGTAGTGCGTCTCGGCCTCGATAATCGTGGCGGTGACTCTTCGTGTTCGTCGCGGTCTGGCGGTTCAGGGGTTCGCGTTGCGGTCCGTCCCGCCATTATGCACAATCGGTTCCGTCGCCACGTGGCACCGCTTTTCGGCTGTGATACAGTCCCGGGTGTTTGAGTTCGGTCTCGACTTACAGTCCCAACTCGATTCGGTGTACTACATGCAGGTACAGTCAAGACAAAGTACAGTCCTTAGCTTGCTCAATCAGTTGCTAAATCTGCTTCCGCCTTATCGATACCTTTTTTTCGCCGGCTCCACCGCCCAAGAAACTAGTACAACAATTTATGTAGCAGAGCCCAACATGGAAGCACCTACTAGATCTAGTATGTAGTATCTGACAGCAGAGTTCCTGTAAGAAAACATTGTTCGGCTTTCTGCAAATTTATCCGAACCTGGACCCTGTCTATCTCCCTTTTCGAGGACAGGCGACCAGCAGCACATTGTTACTGACTTCAAGCACGTCCAACACAAGAAAAAGTGCAAGCTTACCCGGCAAACCCCCGGACCGAGACAGAGTGAAAAAGTCCGTTGCTGAAGGTCACAGCTTTAACGGCTTAAATAGCATCCCATACATAACGAATTATATATACACATATACATTGGGACCACCGGTACATCTCAATTCGGGCGACGCTTCGTTATGTTCTGCACATGGTGAGTCACTGTCAAGATGCATGGTCCGACACCAAAGATTATATTATTCTGCTGTAGCAACCGACAGCGGTGTTTATTTTAAAATATTCTCTCGATTTATATTTGAAATTTAAGACGATACATCCCGGGGAAGAAGGTTATTCAAGGGAGTGGTTGTCTGACAGCAGGAATATACTATACCCAGATTCATTAGTTGACTGTTGAATTGTGATGCCTTGAGCCACTTACTGGATAAATCTGAACCTTTTCAAGATCCCACACCCCGCTCTTAGCGTAGATGTCGCTGTTGATAAGTTCTCGAACTTTTTCGACATTCTCACCCGTGTATACAACCACACTTCCCAAGAACTGTGCGTCTTTTCCTTCCTGTGGATGTTCTGCAAAAATTGCACCTGCAGAGCGTGCGAGTTAATGAGCGAGTTCTTGAATAATACTATAAATGCGTTGACCTGACCTCCATCAACAAGCTTGCCTCCGGTAATCAACGGCTGGATGCCTTCATAGTGGCCACTTATGACCGATAGTTAGCGTCATGCGCACCTAAAATAAACACTTCTCTCCTACCCTTTGATCTTCCTTCTCAGTTCTAGGACGTTAGGCCGATCAGGCATGATGCAAAGGAATTCCTTCTTCTTGCCTGCCGTCGCCATGGTTCTTGAGAGAACACTTCCTGCTTGTTGTGGAGAGCGAAAGAAAGACGCAGTGGCACGAGGTACAACGCGGTTCAGAAACATAGCTATAGGTGATATTACTAGCAGACTCATGTCGCGCTTCAAGGCAATATATATGCAGTGGTGATCTCCGCCCAGGCGGTGTATGGTGAATACGGTCGGAGCGCGTTCCCGAAGCCGATTAGAAGTGGACCCCATACGTCATCATCTATTGGCGGATTATTGAGGATGATACTACTGGTGACTGGTAACCCCTCACGCAGTAACTAGCCGATTTCGCAGGAAGTAAGCGTAGGAAACTTTATCGTCTACTGGTCTTGTATGAGGAGGGCTTAGAAATACGGAGGTTGAGATACGCCACTTTCGCCACACCCCACCGTCCAACGAATTACTTGCCTAATGTGAATGGTGCCTAAGGTGGTATGATGACTAATTTGTCTAAAATGATCGAGAAATATTACTGCCGACTTGGGCAGGTCAAACGTCTGGTGTGTTTATGCCTGAATATCCAGGCAACAAACCATATGTCGAATCTAGATGGGGTAAAATACCGCTAGACCAAAAATGCTCCATGGGCAACATTCTTAGTCATACGGGCTTCTTTTGTTCCGTCACCATGTCTCAACAAGAAAATTATGGTATAGCGTCGAAACGGTGCCTTTGGCATCCTCTTGGCCTAGCGATATATTTTCTTTATTTTCGTCGAATTCTGTTCTAAAAGATCCATGCGAGAAATGTGGGCCATATTCAAAATCCCATGCCTTTAATGATTGGATTTGATGAGTACGCAGCGAGAACAAACTTGCACGTACCAAATGTGCCAGAAGTGGGCAACTTATATGGGGAAATGGGCCGTCCGAGAAAATTTGGTGCTAGCACAGGGGGTGTGCCAATTCTGGGCGTGCTAAAAGCGGGAGTTGACGGTATTTTACGACATTGCAAACTGCGGAGGTTCAGCTGTAAATGATTTCTGAGTACTTGGGTATTCTATGCGTAACTAAGATCTAATGAATTGTTAGGAAGTTGATATACAGCAAGTGAAACACGGATCTATTTATTTGGGCTTGGCCGCATCCAACTTTGCTAGCAACTCGCTCTTAGGGACTTCGTCATCCCACTTGCTCCGTGGTCGCTCGAAGGTTGACACAACACGGCCATAGCAGACACCGCCAAGTTGTCCAATTGGTCGCAGCTTGTCCAGGTCGATATGGCTGTATTCCGCATCGGCGGTGCCTTCCTTAACCCAGAAACGAGTGGCCTTGATGAGGACAGTAGCAGCAAGGCTCATTCCAGGTTTTTGATGATCGGTGAATTCTTTAATGTCGATCACTTTGCCTTCGATGTTAAAGACCGACTCCTCCACACGCGAAGGCTTCACCGTTGTCGATGGCGCCTCGTGAAGACCCGAGACCTCCCACTCCGATATACCATATGGTGCATCAATAGAACTGGCGTTGACGGCTTCGATCATATTCTCAGAGACAGTGTTGATGACACATTCCCTAGTCTCTTTCAAGTTGCGGTTTGTATCCTTGACGCGTCCGGGACGCGACGAGAATCCGACAATGAACATTGGCGGATCGTGATCGATGACTTGGAAGTAGCTAAAGGGCGAAAGGTTCTTCTGTCCTTTGGAATTGACGGTGCTCAGGAAGCCGACTGGTCGGGGTACAATGCCCGAGACCAGCAGGCGATAGTTGTTGATCATTGGCCGATCTGGCGCGTAGGGATCAATTTCATGATGCTTTTGAACGAGACTCGCCCCATTATCGGGTACACCCTCTCCATACTTCCAGTTTGGGTAAGGGGACTTGGTGACCTCAATAGGCTTGGCTTGGTCGAAATTCGGGCGATTGGCTTCAGTCTCTCCAAAATTGCTGAAGTCTTGGACGATTTTGTAGGTTTTCTCAGCTGGCGCAGTCTGGCTCTCGGTAGCGGTGGCAGGAGACGCAGAAGAGCTCATTCGGAAAGATGTAAATGATTGATTTGGAATCCGATATCCCCGAATGAGACTTAGAGATCTGCGACAAAGATAAGCATAGGTGGCGATTTGGAGGCAAGGGGATTGGGATGCCTACTGTCTGAATGGGACACGTCCGATCGCCTTCGTATGCAACATTGTGTAGGAAAGGTCGAGATGTCGCTGTCTGCTTGTGAGTTTTCGACACCACCACTATGCCGAAACGCGCTGGAAACGAAGACATGAAATATCGATCTCGTCGGATGTGCACTCCGACTGTCGGGAGTGGCCTCCGAGGGTCGGGGTCGCCACCCGGCTTTGCAGAGATCAAATCAAATCCGTGGCATATGAGACAACACCGCTGGATTATAATTCAGACAGCTCTTTTAAATCCCCATCGACCATAATCACCATGTTTCCCCGAACGGCTAGCCGTGCGATTGCCGTCACTGCTCATATGCGCCCGGTTTTTCCCCGACCATCAACTCCCGTGTCACCAATCCGGCTGCCATCCTCCACTATGGCTCAATCTACTATATCAAGCGTGCACACAAATATGGCTTATGCTCGTGAGTATCTAAGGCTGGATCAAATTTGGATTTTTGAGCTTGAGTAACTGATTATGTCTAGCATTTGCCCATTATGTATGCTTTGACTCCATAATTTTGCATATCCATTTTGAAGTCCTTACAATCTTAACAATTATCCTGCAGTCCCAAGCTATCAAAGCCGGTGGCCAGGTTTATCTCTCGGGTCAGATACCTGCCGATATCGGAGGAAATTTAATCAAGGGGTCGACTGTAGAGAAAACCGAGGCGATCATCAAGAATACTGAAGCCATACTGAATGAAGCAGGATCCGGACTGGATAGGGTAGTCAAGGTCGTGGTGAGTGTTGAATGCTGCAAGTATTCACCTACGCTGCACCTTCAACTAATCCTTTCCCCCCACAGGTCTACGTCAAAGATGCAAGAATAATGGGGGACTTCGCATCAGTCTATGACCCCAAATTCCCCCATCGCCCGGCACGGTCTATGGTGGAGGTATCCAGTTTGCCTGCTGGGGTAGACATTCAGGTCGACTTCATAGCCGTGGTATAATGTAAATTGTATTGAATCTTCCATATCTAAGTGCGCATCGCTTCCACAAACCCATCACAAGGTCTATACTGGAGGTCACTGTACCGACCACTTTAGTAATTTTTGTAATTTGGATCGGGTGAGCTTTCTTATACGGATTTCGTGATAGACCACTTCTTGGCTCCCTGTGGCCAAGGTTCCGAGCCTGTGCTGAATTGAAAACGGATTAGAAGGATCATATATGCTATAGCTACACTATGTTCTACTCGAAACTCAGTGTCTGTGTCGACTGATTGGTAAGTGCTTCTCGGTGAAGACCTCGGACGCAAAATCATGTGTCAAACAGCGAAAGACAAAGGGTCTACGATACAGAACAGTACTCTACTGAAATTATATAGATGCGTCCCTATCCGCCAAATCTATCGTATTCAGATTGAATTACTAATCATAGGAAGCGACCTCTCCCCGTTGCTTCACCCAAAAACCAATATCACTTACAAATCGCCGGGCAGCACCTAACTTTACGTCATGCTGGACGAAAAAATCAGGGTTCTGATCCTCATTGAGTTGCGAAAGATCAAGGCAATATTCGAGGGTTATCTCGCGTGCTCTTTTGACATTCTCCACGAAAGACTGATTTTGCACTCGTGACAGCTGCCATTTAGTATATTCATCCACAGCTACAGTAGTTTTCGAATTCAGTTTGAACGCTGACTCTTTCGACTTGATTCGCGGAAACAATAAATCCGGAATACGCCAATCCTATTTTAGGCTCACCGTTCTATTAGTTAGGCAGAATTATGGTGGTAATGACTACACCTCAACTCGGGACGTATTGTAACAAATTTGTAATGATACGTCGAATCCCATGGAATCCCTGGGTAGATCTGGCGATCTGGCAAGATCGTCTCCGATTCAACAACGGGAATCGCTTTCTTCACGTTCTCCACCCAGTCACGGATAATCTCGACGAAACTGGGTGTCTAGAACAAATTTCCTCCAATAAGTCGAACAGCCCGAGCTTCTGCCTGGATAGTCTGGCAAGTTGGGTTAGTGGGATAGAGGGTTCATGTCTCCGTGGCGGCCACGAACGAAAACTTACCCTTGTTCGAAAATGCAAAATGCAAGATGTACAAAGCATTGGTTTCGCTCCTGACCGAGCAGCTGTTCGCTCTACATCGTCTTCTGCCGAGGCCTTTACCGCCTCCCTGGTGAAAAAATTTAGCTGCTAGATAGCTAAATTCAGACCGAAATTTATAACCGTGCTGCCCTTCCCATGGTCAGCAGAAAAGACCAGTCAAAACCTAGTCAACAAAACAACGGCCAGGTCCTTTGCCGTGATATGATCCTCCAAATCCGCAACTAGCCATCCGCGCGTAAAGGCTCGAATCAACATTGAGAGCGTTTGAGTGCAATGGCCAAGGATGGGAGGCATCCTTAGCCAGATTCCTGAATGCGGAAGTATCCTACGACATGTTTCTGGTTAGCGGTTCAATCAAATTAATAAGTATTTGATCTTGAAGCTCTATTTGCATACCTCAGTAGTGGACTATCAAGCAGGCAAATTTATAAAGAAAACGAAGCTACTCAAGTAGAGGGAGCAAGTACTAGTAACATATATATAATTTTTCAGGCTGTCGGGACATATCCTCCCGGCAGAATAAGCAAAGACATGTTGTGCGTAATCGTGCTAAGCTGCGGCTCCCGCCGTATGGATTCAGGGGTATTGGGCCTTGACCTGGAATATACATCTATCTACGAATCAATCAACTTTTGCTTTGGCATAAACCACTGTCCACTTAACTGTGTACACAGTACCTAGCTGGTGATACCAACAAAGTTAGACCCCATCTCCCGTTTCACGTTTCCGAGCCGGATCTGGAGAAGGTAGAAGCTTATTCGTGGATCCTATTTGCCATTGAGCAACCCACATATATGGTAGAACTGAGGGAACAGACCAGATTTTCTTAGAATAGGCGAAGCACCTAGAAAGATGTGTGATGAATCCTGACCTCCTTTCGGCGTTCCTGGGGCCAACAGGCCTGCGACGATATACCCTTCTCCTCGAAACAGCATTGGATTCCTGGCACCACTGCCGACTTTAGCAACTGTTAAATGAGCCAAATAAGGCTCTGCGAGGTCCATACGCTTTCTAGAACGGCCCAAAGGCCTCATAGGGCATACACATCACTAGCAACTGCCCGTATTGCGCGTCGCGCTTAATGAGAAGAATGAGAGTCTGTCTTTTACTCTTCGTAAACAGTGCGTAGGTCATACTCTGTGGGGCCAACAAGTTTCCTTGCTGGTGAGTTACTGGATGCTTAAAAATCATGAGCTATTTCCTTATACAAGAGAAAAATAGTTTGTGCGACCACAGTTCTGCAGGCTGATTTCGGTTACCTGTAAATGCGTTGCCAAGGTATGTACACACTGAACTGATGTTTTGCAATGATGTTGACTCAATGTTGAGCGGACACCAGGAAAGAAGTGGGCGAACGCCTCCTGCATCACCTGCAAAACATGAGCCACGCCGTCAACGGTGAGTATCAACTTCAAACCACTGAGTGGGTGAAACGTTCGCTTGTCAATCCTGCATGCAAGCCTCGAGGAAGTGAGGCACTTGCTCCTCATCATAAGACTGTTATTGTAGGATACAAAGATGACCGTTGCTTAACATATGTAATAGATTTCGCGGGTTCAATACGGAAGCCACAATATAAATACTGTCACCCTTCTCCAGTCAATTCTCTTCCCAAAACCAACTCACTCTGATTCACCTACGGGATATTCAGGAATGACAACCAGTCACGACACTGACGCGAGCGAGGGTGATAGCCTGATGGCTCAGGCGAACGAGCAGCTTGAACGCGAGCTGCTCCAGAGTCAGAAACCCACTCTCGCTGCATACCGAGCGCCCCGACGCGTCTCTCGGCATCTCCGTCAGCTACGTCAAAGACTGGATGCCAGCAGATGCTTTTCGGGAATTGTATCAAAATTGGTACGTGCCGGCTTCTTCCGCTGGACAAACGCTAATCAACGCAGGAAGGACGCCATCATAGAAAGATTCAATCTTGACCGTCAGAGCCATTGTTGGAAGACCACAGTGACCATCTCTCAATCATTGTTCCCGACCAGAACCTTGCCGACCAGCCAGCGGAGCGTGAGAATCGACGCGCACTGGGTTTCATTCAGTACGAAAAAAAGACCGGTCAAATCACGATCGCAAATCCATGCATGCAACTACCGATCAATGCTCTAGCTATGGGATTCTCAACAAAAGATGTCCACAGTGCCCACGACCATCTTGTGGGACGTCACGGCGAGGATCTCAAGCTGGCGGCCCTGGTTCTCTCTCGAGATAGCTACAACGTGAGTATCGCCGCGAGTGGTTGCAATTGGAGGTTTGACATACACGCAGACACCGCGTCGGTATCTTGTACGGTCGCACCCTCTCAGAAAACCAACTCGATCGAGTGGACCGACCCCGCCCTGGACATGGCGAGCCTAACGTTACCATGTAGAGAGAGATGTGGCAGTGGTGATCGGCGCGACGCGGGCCAAGTCCAGCCGACAGGTGGCGCTAGACGCGTTTTTGAATTGGCTCCGCTTGGCGATGATCGACATTCGCGGGCTCACCTACCCTTCCAGCATCATTACCACTGCGCATGGCGACTTGATCCTTGATCCCCAGCTCCGAGGTCAGCTCTATCACAATGGGACCACCTTGACCAATTTCAGCCTGGGCGGCGCATTCCTCTTCGCGTACAATTTTGTCTCGGCGGCCACCTGCTGCGATCGTCACAGACCGAAATCCTGGCGCGCTACGGCTCGTCAAGTGCAACAGATATGGGAGGAAGCTCTAGGCAAGCAGAAAGATACCGTCCTGCCTCTACTTGTCGATCTGTTGTGGAAGCATGCATATTCCGCGGAGGCCGAAATGATAGGCCCTCGTTTAGAGCTATCGGCGCGGCGTTAGATCTGGCGATACCTGCTGCGCGAGTCAGCGGATAAAGAATTCTTTTACAGCGAGAGGAGCAATGACCAGGTATGTGCTTGCGGTTCACACTGTGTCACATTTTCATAGCTGATGCAGACAGACCACGAACACTATCCGTGATAGCCTTGGTAAGCGCCCGGCCCGACTACCGGATACGCTGTGGCAGATGCTGCGTGCCCACTGCCCTATCCGAACCGTCGAAGAGGAGCAGCAAAAGCAGTTCAGGGAGGGCAAAACCCTGCAGCGTTCCGGACACTATATTCGCAAGAGCCGTGGATCGATCGCTGCGAGCCTGTTTTGCTCTGCTGAGGTTTACCGACTATATTCAGGTAGTCTACGTCCGTGGTTCAGCCGGCAAAGTCGACGTATACTTTGACAAGGGACAGGGTACGCTTAAGATACATTGCCGATGGTTGGACTTTGCTTGTATGCACCACCGGTCACTTTGCCGGCCCTGGTCTCTAACCAACCTTGCCGATACCAACGCCCCGTTTTTTTGTTGCTATGTATTGGAAGAGCTCTTGGTTCGATCAATTGCATCCATGTTCAAGGCACATCCGACGGCTCGACCTGTAGAAATGAAATTCATGCGGCAGATTGGGCGACGACTGCGATACCTGCCGCACAACATCAAGTTGAAGCTATACCCCGGGGGCATTCTGGTCAGCTGGGAAGATAATGAGACGGAATCCTTTCGCATGCTCGGCTCCAGCGGCCCGGACTACTATGTTGTGCTTCATGATGGCGATTGTGCAAACGCTGAGATGGCGCTCCTCCACGATAAAACAGGTAAGTGATCATCAATCATTTCAAGAATCCCCGCTGACCTTTTGGTATAGCGCTTCCCAACGAGCTGGTTCCCTGTGGCTGCCGCCAGCAGTTTGCTCGTCAGACACACCGAATGTGCCTCTTTACGGGTCTGTCTCACATATCGACATATTATGCCATGATTGCGTTGAACGAAGATCGAGCTTTCTATGGAGTGCCATCTGATCGAGTATCGCCTGGATCGTATGAGAAGGTGGAAACCCACTCTCGATAGACTATGTGGAAAGCGCCTTCGCTCTGCGCTGCTCAATAGATGAGGATCTGACAGGAAGGTACGGCATGAAATCTTTTAGCAGAAGATTTGCGGTACGATCATTAATGTGAGCCCTAGTACATTCTATGCTAACATTACATGTATGGGGTCCGGTATTATCGCTGGTCATTTCATCTCATGTCCCTGTCTACCTCCGATACTATATATTCGACTCCCACATCGGAATGCCCTTGGGTAGAGAGCGCTCGCATGTGGTGCGGTGATACTGATTACACAAGTCGATTATCAAGACCTTGATTCTGAGGCTATCCGTGGTATCCGTACGTTCCATCACTCGAGCTGTCTCTGCGTCTTCTCGTGTTGGGTTAAGTTCCGCCGTTCTTCTCGTTGAGCGAAGCAGGACGTCCGGAGCTTCGTCAGTTCGGCTACATCGAGTGAGCTCTCATAGGAGAACTTGTCCGACATCATGCTTCAGCCATCCTCCACGCGCCTCAGATGACCCAACTCCTGGTACTGTCTACGTCGCAGGACCACTCTTGCCCGCTTGGTTTCCAATGTTTCTTGACAAAAGAAGCAGGGACAGCCGTTCTCTCATCGTTGGGAGACTGCAGTTCTTTTGCATCCTTATCCCAATATTGCATCCTGACAGGTAATGGTCGAGCCGGCAAGCTACACGATGGAGCACCATTGACTGGCATCGATGCCGTGACGTATCGGGCGAGTCTATCCGAAAGCCCGAGAGGCAGCGGGTATGAACTAGCAGTGTTGATCTGTCTTCCTCTAGAGTGACTGCCGGCCTATAGGGACAGCTGCACATCGATTGCTGGCTCTGGTTCGCGTGAATTTTGGAGTGCCGCGCCAACGACCTCGAGGTATGCCTATTTTGTTCCCGACTTCAAAAGCAGCCTGACAACACTCCTGATCGAGCTGGGCAGTCTGTCACGGTCGGTGCTATCTGGATTTTCTCGCAACATCACATGAAGTCAGTCGTAGCATCGGAAAGCATCAGAAAATCGACAGTCCGTGGCGATGTTGTCAATGACTTCTTGATTTTGATGTCTTGGAACTTGATGTAGCGTGCACCGTGTACACGCCTCGAGTGATCCACAGCAACGTCACGGCGAACCTCGAGGCGTACACGATCAGCATCCATACAAAAACCTAGCCCGTTCGTTCGTTCGTCCGTTCGTTCGGATGCTGGTAATGCATACCTCAAGCTGCGATGATCCCATGATCACGGCTCCCAATTGCAGGGTCTCTCATAACTTCACACTTGATGTGCGGTTGCTATATCATAGCGTGGGGCCAGGTCGTGATATTCCTAGGTTGAGAACAGGGCTGTTTTCAGGTCACTCGACTGCGTCTCTGCATGATCCATCTTGTACGTAGATGCCCTCTCAGAATTGCTGGTGCTCCTGTGGTGTTGAAATATTCAACCCAAGTTGAAATGTTGAAATGTTTAAACAGATGTTGAAATAGTGTTGAAGAAAATCAACCCACCTGGTCACACCTCGCCTGTACCCGTGGTTCACCTTTTTGGCCAAGATGCACCCACCCGTTATCGAATTTTCCATTTCCTGCGGTGAGTATTTTCAGCCATCCTGCGTGAAAGACTCCATAGCAAGAAAACATAGTTCCATGGATCATTAAATGTTCCGCGAAGCCACTGCACAACCTGGCCTCTGATCTTAACGTTCTCTTTTTGCAAATACTCATTACAAACAATCACTGCTACCATCTCATTCAGTCAGTTTTCTTCAGAATGGCAAATCGCGTTACCAAGAACCCTCCCCTTCGACCAGGCCATTATGCCGCCAAGCTAGCCAAAGCGCTGGAAGATGAAGCCAAAGCAAAAAACCGCTCTCGCCATAACGATGCGGCTAGGTGCGAATCCATGTCATCTGGGTCAACAACAATAGAGCCTGAAAGCCATAATCGCCGCAAATTTACACATCAATCCGATCGAGAAACGGAGTTGGTCGATTCATCACCAGACAGACTGCACGAATCTACAACATACGCGAACAGACGGTCAGTACACGAGACGAGTCTCCATATATTTCAGTTCCTCAAATCTGATCAATCTTGCCTAGACCGTTGGAGCAAGTGAAGCAAGGTCCCTTTACAACTTCATCCGAAAGAGTAAAGCGGATGGAAGGAGGCAGAGAGTGGGAAAGGAAGGCTGCTAGGCGACTGCTCAAGCGTGAGCTGGCGGCAGAAATCAAAATTCTGAAGAGTGAGATGGAGGATCTTAAACAAGTGGTCATCTCTCTACAGCCGCTTCTGTCTGAGCAAAGTAGGGGAAAGCGAGTGGCTTTCCAAGACGAACTCAGCTAGATAAATTCCAGTCCTCTTGAACATTTCCGACGCAGTGAGAAACTTCCTTTTCCTTCTGAAACGTAACAGTAAGCATCTTCGCAACGCATATCCTCCAGCAAGCCCATTCTTTCACTCATTGCCTAAAGACTGAGGGTGAAAAATTGATTGACGGTGAAATGTTAGCGTTTCTATAGCAGTTCCCCATGAATGACATGCGCAACTCATACTGTTAGAGTTATTGCTTCCTCGGAAGTTCTGGCAATAGATGTCTTGCCATGATCCATCAAAAGAATCTTTCCCCGATATATGACAATACCTTGAACATGACTTTGGATGAGAACAGCCGAGCCCAGCACCGTTGTACTCGCTGTAAGTCGAACACCCTCGCGTCTTCACCGCGAAATCATCGCAAGTAAGTTAATGATACCTCAACAGAAGTTATTTAGTCTAGCAAGGCCCTTGGAAGCAAATTTTTTCATCCACCCAACTTAATTGACAAACTGGGGATGCCATACTATTGGGAAAGGCACGTGACCCTATCTGTTCAGTCCTGGAGCAGAACTACTGTGCGGATCGATATTTGCAGATCGCCTGGCGTACCATGGATCAGATACCCGGGGAGTTTTTGTGAACAACAAGTGGGTCTCACCGTTGAATGGCGATGGTCAATTACTGCGGTGCGTCCATCGTGAACGTTGAGGACATTCTTGTCGTAAATAAATTGTACTCGACTTTCTGCCCTGCATCTGGTTATGTGAGAGACAGAAGACGAAGTGTAGACTTCTAACGTTGGCGCAGAGGGAAAGCGTCGAGCCCCATTCGCCCACAAGTCCCCCGTTGTCCAGGCCGGCCTATGTAACACCTGAGTCTCCATCTCGCTCGGCATTTTCAAACAAAATCCTCATTATTCAACGGGCATCACTGTAAACAATGCCAATACGAAAGGAAATTTTACAAGATACGGATCCAAGGGGGCGGCCCGTCTGAATCTCTTCAATCCACGGTTCGGGGTGGAGCGCTTCGTGAGATTGGCCACAAACTCTAAAAGCATGCTTCAACGGCTGTTGAGTCAACGGCAGTGACAGCAAAAATGCTGTGACTAAAGCACAATACATCATTTTTTCCAAGAGATTTGCATACCTGGCAGCTACGGTCAGCCGGAGACGAAAAGGCATAAAAGGAGGCTGCATGACCGGTCTGGAAAATCAGGACTTGGATCCTCATCCTCCACGATGGCATGGTCTTGTTGTCTGCTTGCAGGCCTTGGCTTGAGGACTTGGCTTTTGCTGGTGTGAGCCCAGTGAAGTAAAAATGGCGCTTTTTGCAAGATAAGCTCTGCGTTACCAACTTTGCTTCGCAGGATGAGCTCTGCGATACCAACTGTTCTCCGCAGGATAAGCTCTGCGATATCAACTGTTCTCCGCAGGATGAGCTCTGCGTTACCAACTGTTCTCCGCAGGATAAGCTCTGCGATATCAACTGTGCTTCGCAAGATAAGCTCTGCGATATCAACTGTGCTTCGCAGGATAAGCTCTGCGATACCAACTGTTCTCCGCAGGATAAGCTCTGCGATATCAACTGTTCTCCGCAGGATGAGCTCTGCGTTACCAACTGTTCTCCGCAGGATAAGCTCTGCGATATCAACTGTGCTTCGCAAGATAAGCTCTGCGTTACCAACTGTGCTTCGCAGGATGAGCTCTGCGATACCAACTGTTCTCCGCAGGATAAGCTCTGCGATATCAACTGTTCTCCGCAGGATGAGCTCTGCGTTACCAACTGTTCTCCGCAGGATAAGCTCTGCGATATCAACTGTGCTTCGCAGGATAAGCTCTGCGATACCAACTGTTCTCCGCAGGAGAGTGCTGCGTTAACAAGTTCTCCCTCGCAGCAATGAGCCCTGCGTTGCTGAAATGTGCTCCGCAGGGACATCTGCGAAACCAAGAGCCTCCGCAGGGACAACTGCAAAATCAAGAGTCTCCGCAGGAGACCGCTGCCACACCAAGTTCTCCCTCACAGCCTTGAGCCCTGTGATTGTATAATCTTTGGCTTCCATGCAGCCCTGAGCCCTGTGTTATCAATTTTGTGCTCGTTTAGGCGACCCGTGGCGCCGCGGTCCTCGTCCTGATCCTCTGGCGACATGCAGGCACCTCTTCGCGGTGTCAGAGACTAGTATTCGAGTTACTCGAAGAAGCCAAGACCTGCTCCAAAGAATCCATATTAATGAAGAATCTGCTCAAGAGCGTTGGTGTTATTGAATATAATGGTTATACGCTGGAGCTTTATCTTCTTGCACAATCGTCTTCGGTCGCTCAATAGCGCATTCCTTAGCAAAAGGAAGAAGCTTTGGTATAAGAATCATCTTTTGATAGCGATACCAGTCGATTCCGCCCTTAGCTCCTCGTGAAAGCTTGCCGTTTTGCTTATTAAATTTCCATATAGGCTTTTTACCAGCTAGCTGCCGACGAAGATTAATACGTCGTATACCAGTCTCAAGCTCCCACTGCTCGCGAAGGATAGGTTCAATCTCTTGGTTAAGAGCTTCAATCTCTTCCTCTGCTTTGCGTTTTCAATCGCAGTTTCAGGGCACCAACAGTGAGAAGGACCCTTCTTATCATAAGAAAAGCAGCCCCAAAACATAAATTCAGACGAACCCTTCCATCGTTCACGGATACAAGAGCGTAGAAAAGCTCCATCCTTAGAACGCCACACACGATAACCACCATGGCGGTGTAGAAGAATCACTGAGGTCTCATCAGAGAATATTACATTCTTCCAATCTTCAAGGGTCCAGTGCTCGTGGGCTAGACACCAGGTTAAACGCTCAGCGCGCATCTTCTTCGTCAGTCCAGGCTTCCTCGTCGGCTTCGTTTTCCGTAAACCAGCCTTCCTTAGGATAGTCCAGACAGTAGAGGATAATATCTCTTTCCCTTCCTGGCTAAGCTCACCAGCAATATCAGCGCACGTTTTCTCGCGACCGTAACGATCAAGGCGCACCTTTGACAGGATAGTATTAACTGTCTCAGGATCTTGCTTAGTAGGTCGACCAGTGCGAGGGCTATCTTGCACGTATTCATCGGTGATCTTTGTATGAATCGGATCGAAACCACGCTCGATCGCACGCGCGTATATGCGATTAACAGTGGCAATAGATAGACCTACTATCTTCGCGATCTCACTAGACGTTTTCGTCGTATACGCCCTTAATGCGACGACTGTCACACGATCAGCTTGCGTTGACTGTTTTGCCATAGTGATGATAGTAGTAGACTGTGGTAGGTAGGTAGTAGTAGTAGTAGGTAATGAAGATAAAATCAGCTTATGGGAAGAAGGATTGTGTGTATTCGCTTGGTATATCGTTAGTGGTAATATAATGGTGGTACGTGCGCTGCGCAATACTTTTTGGATGGATCTCCGTACACACTCACACACTCTTTTCTAGCCCCACCGCCGAGACCTTAGCGCAGACCATTTATTGAGCGGGCCGCTTCAAAATGAGGGGGAGCAGTACAGTGATGTTCCATAAGTTTTTAACACACCCTAGACCCACCCATCTCACCGCTATCACCGCCTACTACATTTGTATACAGGAGGTATGGCCTACTCTATTCTCTTACCTAAAACTATGAAATTTGGAACGTAGTAAATTCGCTCGAATTAATCGAGTCTTATTTTTGAAAAACTAAAGGAAATTAATGAGCGGGGGTTGATAAATGCAGCTACATCACAATGAGTTTGTCTGGCAGAATATTATGTAATCTCAGAAGTGGGGCTGTGTGTTAAAAACTTATGGAACATCACTGTAAAATCGACTTGGTAAGTTACAGTACCATGGTACGTAATATTACAACATACGTACGAAAACCTCATGGAATTCCATACTGTAAAACCCCGAAGATTGGTACTGCGAGCCTTGTTTCAGACTTCCCCCGTGAGTATGCTCTCCGTTTTAGCCGCATGATAGGTGCAGCTTTGCTGATCACACAATTGCGGCCACTACTCAGCAATCCCAAAGCTGCGCTCGCCTTTTCTAAACCATCCTTTCAATAAAAACTAGAAAATACAAAATATAAATTATTTGGTATACTTTGCGCATAATCAGTCGTGAAATTGCTTTTCGCCTTGGCAGTAGGGAAACTACGTTCTGAGCCCACAGGTATTGTAAGAATAAACTGGAGGAAGGTCTATAATGTATACTGTAATGCCAGCCAGACAGTACCACGTTTAGGTGGATGGAAGCTACTCTTAGTTCTTTAGTACGCAGTGTATAATACCAAGGCCACGTGCACTGTACTGGCAACCCGGATGTGTAGCCTCAGCTCAACCCCGCCTTCAGGTGACAAACTCAAGACATCGTCCCCACAACCTCCGCTTAAACATATTGTTCTTTCACTCATGTTACCAACACATTAACAGGTCAGAAATCATAACGCCCAATCCGATCAGGGTAGTGTCTGTCCGCTATGGATGCCAGGACCCGATCCCACGACGATTATACAATCGGGTGGACATGTGCCTTGCCCGTGGAGACGGCGGCTGCAAAGCTGATGTTAGACAAAATACACCCGCCTTTGCCTCGCCTGCCGATGGACCAAAATACATACATCTTTGGAAGCATCGGGGAACACAATATCGTTATTGCTAGCTTACCGACTGGCGCATGTGGCACTACATCAGCTGCAACGGTTGGGATGCAGTTGCTGTCTAGTTTTCACGCCATCCGATTCGGTTTTATGGTTGGTATCGGCGGCGGAGTACCAAGCAGCAATGCAGACATTCGACTTGGGGATATTGTTGTGAGCCAGCCAACAGACACTTCTGGAGGCGTGATCCAGTATGATTTGGGTAAAGCGCTAAGCGGCAGCCAATTCAAGCGCACCGGAATGCTCAATCGACCTCCTAAGGTTCTGCTGACCGCTCTCGCGACTCTCCAAGCACATCACCTCACGGAAGATAGCCGGATCGTCGAATTTGTTTCCAACCTACAAGCCAAAATGGCGCCCCACAAAGCTACCAAATTCGCACGACCGACGCAAGAGGACTGTCTATTCCAAGCAGAGTATGATCATATCGCATCCGATACGTGTGTGGATTGCGATCGATCTAAACTACTTCCACGAACCCCACGAGAGCACCAAGACCCAGTCATTCACTACGGACCCGTCGGATCTGCAAATCAGGTTGTGAAGGATGGCAGGCGGCGAGATCAGCTGGCTCGGGACTTGGGTATATATTGCGTGGAGATGGAAGCGGCGGGACTTATGAATGACTTTCCGTGTCTGGTCATCCGGGGCATCTGCGACTACGCCGACACCCACAAGAATAAGGAATGGCAAGGGTATGCGGCTGCGGTGGCGGCGGCCTACGCGAAAGAGCTTCTCTCGGTGGTTGCAATCGATCAGATCAACTGCACACCAACTGCAGGAGACACACTCGCAGACTCTGGTGAGAACATGTCAATAGTATTCCTCAGGTAATTTGAATCGATTGCTAAATATTTTTTTACATAGTATACCAGTTTGATGTCCCTTTAGACCTAACGGCTGTGCCAGTAATTGAAAACTTCGTGGGACGGCAAGGCGAGCTAGAACAACTCTGGCAGTATTTACAGCCCGGGCATTCCCAATCCCGAAAGGTTGCAGTTATTCATGGGCTTGGGGGGATGGGAAAAACACAATTAGCGATTCGTTTCGCACGAGACCACAAAGGTGATTTCACTGCCATCTTCTGGCTGAGTGGTAAAGACCGAGACACGCTAATACAATCTTTGAGCTCTATCTTGCCCCGGTTGCCAGGACAGTCACATGCTGATGTGGCAATGAATGACGAGGAGGTGGAGCAACAAGCTAGAGATGTGTTAAAGTGGCTAGCAATAGAGGGAAACTCACGCTGGCTGATCATTTTCGACAACATCGACCAATACTCCCCTTTCAGTGGCCCTATTAGCGATGCATATGATATTGCTGAATTCTTCCCTGGAGCCGATCATGGCTCTATTCTTATAACCTCTCGGCTGCAAGGGTTGACAGAGCTGGGAAAGTCATTTCCCATCCATACACTTGACTTGAAGCATGCGGTTCAACTGCTCTTGCAAAGCAGCCGTCTATTATTGAAGAATACAGCTAAGGAGCTTCAGAGCGATCCAGGTATTCAGGGACCCAATATTGAAGTCTTATGTATGATACTAATATATATAGATACCATTGCGCTAGCGTGCCGTCTAGATGGACTTCCATTGGCAATCGTCATCGCCGGGGCGTTTATGCGTGAGACTGGAACAAGCATTCCTGAGTACTTAGAGTTTTACAAAGCATCTTGGACCGACCTACAGCTACAATCTAATCCTGAACGCCAGTACCAGCAAGGCAATATGCTGCAAACATGGATGATCTCATATCGAGAAATTCAGAGGCGAGACGCGAATGCAGCGGTACTCCTGCTGTTTCTTGCTTGTTTCGATAATCGAGATATCTGGTTTGAACTAATTAGAACTAGCCGTTATAGCTCGAATCTCCCAAATTGGCTGGAAAAGACTACATCAAGCGGAATCGAGTTCAAAATCGGTGTCAAGGCTCTTATCGGGTTCTCTCTACTCGAGGCTAAGGAACAAGAAGGGGGCTACGCTATGCACCCGGTGGTGCAAGACTGGTGCATTCACCTTGCTAGCACAGACAAAACTGTGAATCCAATTCAGCTCAATGAACTGGCAGTGGTATCTGTTGGGTACATTGTCCCTAGCGCAAGTACCAGAAATTATTCCGAGCTTCAGCAAAGACTTCTTCCACACGCGAACTATGTACGTCATAAGGGTTGTTCAGACACTAATATCGCGGTATCGGGAGCATTTCATGGACTAGGAGACCTCTACTCTAATCAAGGGAAGCTGCAAGAAGCAGAGGAGATGTACCAGCAAGCACTGGCAGGCAAGGAGAAGGCCCTCGGTTCAGATCATATGTCCACTCTCAATACAGTCAACAACCTTGGGAGTCTCTACTCTGACCAGGGGAAGTTGGAGGAGGCAGAGGAGATGTACCAGCGAGCACTGGCAGGCTACGAGAAGGTCCTCGGCCCAGATAATTCGTCCACTCTCGATATAGTTGACAACATTGGGAGTCTCTACTCTGACCAGGGGAAGTTGAAGGAGGCGGAGGAGATGTACCAGCGAGCACTGGTAGGCAAGGAGAAGGCCCTCGGTTCAGATCATACATCCACTCTCAATACAGTCAACAACCTTGGTCTTCTCTACTCTGACCAGGGGAAGTCGAAGGAGGCAGAGGAGCTGTACCAGCGAGCATTGGTAGGCTATGAGAAGGCCCTCGGTCCAGATCATTCGTCCACTCTCGATATAGTCAACAACATTGGGAATCTCTACTCTGGCCAGGGCAAGTTGAAGGAGGCAGCAGAGATGTACCGGCGAGCACTGGCAGGCTATGAGAAGGCCTTCGGTCCAGATCATGCATCCACTCTCAATACAGTCAACAACCTTGGGAGTCTCTACTCTGGCCAGGGCAAGTTGAAAAAGGCAGAGGAGATGTACCAGCGAGCACTGGTTGGCAAGGAGAAGGCCCTCGGTCCAGATCATTCGTCCACTCTCGACACAGTCAACAACCTTGGGAATCTCTATAAATATCAGGGGAAGCTGAAGGAGGCAGAAGAGATGTACCAGCGAGCACTGGCAGGCTACAAGAAGGCCCTCGGCCCATATCATATGTTCACTCTCAATACGGTCAACAACCTTGGTCTGCTCTACTCTGACCAAGGGAAGTTGAAGGAGGCAGAGGAGCTGTACCAGCGAGCACTGGTAGGCTACGAGAAGGCCCTCGGCCCAGATCATACGTCCACTCTCAATACAGTCAACAACCTTGGGAGTCTCTACTCTGACCAGGGGAAGTTGAAGGAGGCGGAGGAAATGTACCAGCGAGCACTGGCAGGCTATGAGAAGGCCCTAGGCCCACATGACAGTAGAACAAGGTGGGTCGTGGAGAGATTGAACGGGTTGAGCATTGTAGATTTAAGATAGGGAATTGCGCCTGTCTACAAAAATTATCTTTATTCTCTACTGACTGTGTTGAAAGTCTCTTAAAATAACTACTATAACATCCTAATTTTTCCAATCTTTCCAGAAAATGACGGGCTATGGGAGTTTGGCGAGGATCTTGCATTTCCGAGTAACGGTCGCAGTTGTGCAATAAGTAAAGCGTATTCATGTTGTATAATCGTGCGGGCTGAGGAAAACTGGTGACTCAGGAAACAAGGCGGCAATGGCTCTCGCGTAACTAGATTGACACAAGTCCACGATAAGGTACGGATAGTGTAATATTACGTCCCTAGGGACTGTAATATACAACGTATGTACATCCCTCAATTTAGTTAACGCAGGCAGCTGAATAAATGATCTACGCTAAGGCCTTGGCGGTGGGGCCAGGAAAGAGTTTCTCGGTGTATATTGGTCAAGGCGAAAGACTGTACGCGTCGCGGATGGAGCGCGTTGTCTCCACAAATTTCCCGCCATTTCTCTAACTCTCTTTTGTGGTCACCGCGCTCTTTGAGCCAGTTCTAATTTACATATTGGACGAGCCTGCGTTTCCCTCCCTGACTGGCCACCCATCGGACGTCAGCCGTCCACGAAAACAAGGATCGTAGGCTGAGCTAGTCCGATCTAGAGTAGCCACGTAGCGATTGCGGCCTCCCGGTCTACCATGCGTTGCATAATGGGCTTTGAGGTTCGCCACGGGTGAAGCGGCGCTGGCACTCCGGAACCCAGCAGACATATGACCTCTCAGACAGGTGGCTGGACAGATGACGCTGTAGGCCTTTGAGATATCGACAGCGACTACTGCACCTTGCAACGGTGCATTTGAATTGTCGTCGGGGGAACGGCCGTGGTATGCCGCCGCGGGTGTGGCTGGAGTGCTCGCGGTCGCCGCAGACGAGGCGTGTGAACTCCTCAAAGTCTGGCCAGGACGTCTTCCTCCAACTGCCATTAGGTGTTCCGGCAGGCGTGTTTTCAGTTATCATCGACTTGGCAACACTGTATGGTTCGACAGTGGGATTCCTCGCGATGAACTCGACCTCAGACTCGAGGTCAGATCCATATTGGAACCAGTCCATACTATGAGCTTGATCTTGCTGGACAGGCGCATAAGAAGAAGATTCTATGTCGGACCAGAAAGGGTTTTGAACATAACTCTAGTCTAGTGGAAATTGCCTATATTCGGCTTGGAAGCCAGGCCATTGACAGCAGGAGCCTTCCAGACTGCAGGAAATGTTCCAGTCTGCGTAGGTTGTTTAGTGACTTGCTTGAACCAACCGCTCTGTACAGACTAGACCGTGATAACTTACTATTCTCACTGTTTCCCCTACTGTCCATCGACGAGGATGTGTCGTTAAGTTGTAGGTGTATTTAGCAGATAGGAAGATTGATAAGCCTGTATATAAATAAACGCAGAGGCCCCGAGCAGGTTGGGAGATATATATGAAGGCAAGCCAGCAAGATAAGGCACTGAACGTAGCTAGGAGGGTACCAGATTAGAGAATGCTGTACTGTGTAAATATTCCAAGCAATCCGCTTTCTAAGAGGCTTGGACCGGGAAAAAAGTTGATTCAACCAGCTGTATAGTAGCTGTATGGTCTAAGAGGGACGATGGTTTCACTGGGGCTCTGGTGCATTGATTCAACGTTGGAAAACCGCAATCACTGTTTTCGAATTGTTGATCTTGGTTTATTAGAATGTACATTGAAAAGATATAAATTCTGTAATATTATGAAGTATCGCAAACACTATCCTCGATCAGACACGATACACAAGATTTAGTATGGACACCTCTAATATAAATCCTGCCGAAGAGCTGCCTGAGATTCAGCTCATAAGTGGCCATCCTCTCGCCGGCGAACCTATCCGTTATATGGAGCCGCACCCGCAGATTGAAGTCGATCTACTATCCAGCCTAGCAATCGTGAGTAGGAACAGCACAAGTATGTATAAGGATTGGCTGACTCGTGACTAACAGCCCGATGACACAGAGAGACCTTCCTTGAGGGACTAGCCATTTGCACCTGCGATGGAGGCTCTCGCGCGGTTTGAACGTGAGGACCCGAAGCTTGCGTTTTAAGCCGCAAGAATCGTCGGACTGTACCGGCGCCTGTGGGAGCTATGCATGGCAAAGCATATGGAGGGGAAGAAGTTGGCTAAAGCAAATGATGGCCCGAGGGAGACTTAACAAAAGCTGATGAGCGAGAAGAACAGAATGTAGTCAAGCTATGATAACCAGCTCGCTCGGTTGTATTTCTTGGATCAGGCGCTGGAGTTATCTCGACTCTGTTTGACTGAGATGCTCAAGGAATGGAATCGCTATTCTGATGGCCTCGAGTCAAAGCTTAGTGAATAAAGAAGTGCTAGTAAACGGATGGCGGTAGTGCAGTTACTATTAGATGGTGGGAGGTGTTTGTAGAAATTTGATGGGATGGCTATGTTTCAAGGGCTTTTGAGCATTCCTACTTCCCCTCTATGCAAGGCATCAATTTATGCTCAGTTGATAAGTGCAGAACAAATTAGCCGTCATTATTATTGTTAAGAAGACAAAAAAGCGACTGGGATTTATCCGCATAGCGTCCCGAGGATGAAGCCGAGTGTGGTTAGCCATACTGCAGGGTAGAAAGAATCATAGTTCTCACAATGACACTAATCTCGGCAAATCCCCCCCAGCCAAAGCAATACTATTCTAATGCCGTTCCAGCTATCTTAATGTTGGAATTCGAGTGTAATTAAAGGGGTGGTGAGGGTAGAGCTGTATTTTTTCTGAAGCCATCGACTTAGTAGTTAAGAACTTGCGCACAAAACCAGACACAGGGATACTGAGAACAGCAAAATAAAAAGAATTACGAAACAAAGGTAGCGAACATACTACATATATGTTGGACCAGGAATGAGACACGCAACTCGGCTGGTATCCCATTGCATCGTGTTTGCAAGACTAGTTCAACTCGATCATCCTATAAGCGCGTTTCTCGCTTGCCTTCAAAGCCTCGACGATCCCATCATTGAGGGCAGCCACAGCTTTTCGGCGGCCGAATAGCTCCAGAGCCTGATCATTTCAGCACTGGAGTAATATATCGCATTCAGCAGTCAGCCATACAATTGACCGCTGAAGCTGATCCTGCTCTTCTTCGAGCCGTATCTTCAGTGCAGAATCCACAATATAACAATTCCATAAGCGGAGATACCAGTCGAGAAGGCTGACGGTGGGAGCCGCGAGGGAGATGTGATGATTCAGAATATATTCAAACTCTATGGAGGGGCTTGCTGAAGTCGTGGGACCCTGTATTCGCTCTTATCAGCATTGCTATTTCTATGATTGCGTGGCTCTTAGACCTAGTTTTCGCTAACCGAAGTGCCTTTTCTAGGTGCCTGATTGCTTGGTTCCTCCCGTATCTCATCATCCGCATTTGCGTAAACGTGTTGTCTTTTGGACTGCGACGTGGGAGAGGACAAAGGTCGTTTGGGAGAACTCATGGTGGTCGATTGGTTGGTAGATGGTAACCTGACTCTCATGAGTGTGTTAAATACATCGTGGAAGTCTTCACAGGTGACCTCTTTGTAGCTGGAAAGACGGGTCTTTCATTGCTACTTACCCAGATCTCTGCTGCCTTTATTTGCCCAGTGTTGGAGCAAAGTTCTTGTCAAAACAAGAAGTATAGACTAAGAATTTCACCCATGGTGCCTTTTTGGTCTAGCGGTATGATCGCCCATATTTCGTTCGACAGTTTTTCATAATACCAAACGTCTGCACAACAACATATGCGGAACAACGATAGACGAAATACAGACTGCTTAAGATCATCTCGAGAGCATTCGAGCAAAGCAATCAGCATACATTTTACTCCTTTCCCTTCATAAACACAAACTTGTGATAGGTAGGAGGATGGTTAGCGTTCTCATCATTTTCAAATTCACTCTGCCTGCAGTTCTTTGTTCGCTTGACTATGGTTATGATCTCAATGGAGAGAACCGATTTAGTACTTACTTCTATGCTGTCGACAAGACAACCTGGAAAAAGTGAAGAACGCGGGCCGGAAATTAAAAACTGGTAGAGTGTTCTCTAATAACCTGATAAACCAGGCATAAAGAAAAAGTGTCACGATTTTTTCACAGGGCTGCACTGCTGGAATTCATCCTGCAAATGGGTGGCAGGTGAGGTATCCTGTGATGGATGCTCTACAGAGCGGACATCCCTCTGACTTGTCGAGATTTTCAACGCACGACCGGCAAAACATGTGCTCACATACAAGTGCCGCCCATTTCCCTGTCTGCTCGTAGCAAACCGTGCACTCTTAGACTAGTTTTTTGCCTAACTGCGAGAATTTGGCTTGTAGCTTTTGATGCTTGTCCCTCGCCACACAAAGTTCATCTTGGAGCTTTCGGTTTGTATCACGCAATGTTGTAATTTCATGGTCAAGTGCGGTCACGTGCGGTTCGGAGCTTCTTGAAAGCATGGTCCTAGTCTTGATCAGCCACGGAAGATGAAGTCTAATCACGCGATCAGGCCATACCAAGGTAGACACTTCGCTCGATTTCGTTAGTTTTCTTTTCCGTGATGTTGTTGTCTCACGTGTATCTGCGCTTAATTCAACGAGTACGCCGGGAACTTCCACATATCTCGAATCTGTCTGAGGGTGGCTCCGAGGTCGTGAATTACCTGGGTTGGTTCTTGGAAATCATTCTTCATTCTCATCTGATATTCTAATTGTGTCGGGATGGTTTTCCCCTGCACCACTAGTCTGTCATATTCAGAGTGAAATGCGTGGTGTGCGATCTCTGAATAGAATATGATGAATTAGAACTGGCCACCGCAGGGCAAAGGGTGGGCAGGCCATTAATGTATTTGTGAACGATGCTAACAAAGTCAGCCCACTACCATTCCCGTACGGTGCCACTGCAGTATTCTAGGCCGCTTGGAACAGCTGAAAGTCAGCATCTAGTGGAGTGAACTAGACAATTGTATGCCATGCAATTTTCACGGAATGATCAAACAAGATTAGACTAAATTAGATGTTCCTAGAATGGGAGAGGCTCCTAGAAGCTTGTGTAACGAATCCTAGTGTTTCAGTTTCTGCTCCTAAGGCCCATATGTTTGTTCCTAGGGCCGATCAACCAGGTTCCTGGAAGCGGCATCGAGTTTCTAGGGCCTACGCTGACCCTAGGGACTGATAAACTTGCACGTAAGATTGGGGAGATTAGATTTGTTTTGTGGCTCTCATGTATTGCGAGGACGGTGAGCGTCACGACAAAAAACGTCCATTATGCACCATGACCAACGTGACGAACCTCAAAAAGAGGTATCACGAACGCTTTGGTATTTTACGTGTAGCTTTACTTTGCAGCAGCTTAAAGAATGGAAGATAGAACGTATATGTGCAGTTTGGCTAGTGAGGTCCGATAAGAGGCATCTCAAGCGCGTCCCAGGATGATACCCAGGTTCAACATACTTCTCAGGCTATTCAACTCTAAACAGTCGACTGAAAAGAGCAATACCAAACTTTCTGGAGGCTACCTTGGTCTCGCAGCATCATCATCACCTTGCGAAACTAGAACCGATCTATCTCTCTTACACTGGGAATGCAATCATTTCCCTAAAAGACAGTCCATAGCGAGGACCGAAGCACGTGACGCTTCAACGCAACATAAATGATGATCATGATGATGACCAGACATCCGTATGCAGCTGTTGGTATCACCAGCTAGGTTCTGTGTACACAGTTAAGTGGGCAGCATGTATGCTCCAAAAGCAGAAAGTAAATTGATTGATGTAGATAGATGTGTGTCTTCCGTCAGGTCAGGTTCCAGGATACCCCTTAATCCCACGCGCCGATACTGGGCAGTCATAACACCGGAGCCGTAGCTCCGCGCAAGAATGCGTACACCAAGCAAGGGATGTTGTCTCTCGGCTGACAGAAGGATATATCCCGACAGCAGCAAAACCAATACCTCCATAGTACATCATCTTGTAATATCGAAAGCGGCTCACTTTATCGTTGAACCCTGCAAACAGGCCTTGATATCTATGAACACGGTTCGCAACATACCCTCCGACAGAGAGGACTGCCAGGCTCAAAATGAAGTGAAAGCAGCCAAAAGAATAGTGGGCATTGCTATTCTCCTGTAAGAGTCGCGGGTGGATCAGGAGCATGCCCCCAAAAGTTGAGAATAACGCCGAAGGGAGAGCCAAGATTACCATGCTCTTGAAGACATCGGTCATCACATTTTCAAACGTAATGGAAAGCATGGAGCCCTTGGTACGGTCTGATCTCGCGCGATCTCGCAGAACGACCGCAAAGTGAGCGAGCGCTGACCTGAGGCCAGCTATAGACAGCCAAGGGAGGGCGAGAAAGAAGATGAGGAGACGAATGCAAATCTGAGATGCAATGGCGTTGAAAGACATGATGTAGCTGGTTCTACAACTTGCCGCTTTTGTGTATCTTGAGAATCGGTTCTGTGTTGTCTGTGAACAAGGTCAGATTGAGCGAAGATTGAGAAACACAGTTGAACTGGTCATACATTTAGATACGTGCTACACGGATTATATACAGGCTCGCGGCGTCTGGTATAAATAGCATATTGAGGCTCTTTCTTTGCCAAGATACATGGCTCTCCTGGGCTATTTGGCAATCTCGGCTTTCATTTGCGTCGTTCCGCTGCTGCCACTAAATCCCCCCAGAAAGAAGTATCAGAAGTTTCAAAAATATTTAATTGCGTTCGGAGATTGACTTGGAAACTGGTACCATTGTTGGAGAGTTTGAGCGTCCAACACCACCCTCGGGTATCAGTCGATATGTCGCACTGCTTAATATCTTGGATGGTGGATGTGGGATAGAATGAATATTGTATCACCGGATCTTTTTCTCGAAGCACTAAGGCGTCTGTCGGGTTTGAAAGCTGGACAGTCGGCACGGAGCTGCGATCCAATATATCTTGAACGTTCAGTGTAACGCCGGAGGTGAGATCCATTTCGGCACCAGGCATAACAGTGTGGTCTTGGAGACACTCTCGGAACAGTCTCCACGAGGGTGAAAATTGTCGACCCTTATTGCAAATATACAAGATGACACAGCTTTTCCCGGGAAGCGTGCGAAGATGCGACCCGACCAGTACCGGCTTTGCGTTCTGTTCGTCTACCATTTTTCTAAGCCACTGATCGCTTTTGAAAATGGAAAACCAAAGCCGCATGCGGTGTTGATCCGAACCCCACGCTTCATGGCCTAGACACGATAGGAGTTTTTGCTGAGCAAAAATCGAAGTATAAGAAGCGATGTGATCAATTAGCTCCCTGGGAAGCTTTTTGATCCATTGAATAGTGCTGATTCCCGTTTTTGCTTTTTTGGACGATCTGGGTTCATTGCCAAAGAGCAGTGACCTTTTCATATGGTTGGTGGCTCTGGTTTGTTAGATAAAGTTAAGTGGCGGAGAACCGTCAAAATCGTAGCTTCTGGACAGAAGAAAGAAAAATCTCACACATCAAATGTATATAAATTCAGGCTACGGTTGAGGAGAGAGAGGATATATAGAGGATTCTCAGTACCGTTCTTGGGCTTCCTGCCATTGCCTAAAAGAAGTGGTACGATCAACAGCGTACGACTTGAAGTCGACCCTATTGCATCTTTAATGATCGGTGAGGCACTTTTTCTGAGTAAAGTCCCGCATGTTCTCACATTTTCTTTAGAACTACATTGAAAAATGAAGCCGTTAATGTAACAGTTCCACTGGTCCGTCTTTCTGTGATTCCCACAAGCAAAGCCATGGAGAAACGCTAGGAATACTAATGTACTGTATAAAATTGTGACTTTTGGATATGATCCAGCAATTTTCTATCCTGATATTTTCAAACGCTGGACCTCTGTCAACGATGGCGGTACAAATAAGGAGGTTCCTTCTCCTGGGACTGATCAGCCTCATCTGTCAGCTCTTTCTGCGGGTGTGGTGGGACAATCACCACGAGTTGAGGTCAACATGCCTGCAGGAAAATAGCGAATAAGCTTAGAATAAATTTTGAGTGGACAACAGTAATGCACCGTTGGAACGCCTCCATCAACGATTCCCAGTGCACTGCTTTCAAAGAGCGCCGCGTACGTGATTCAACGTTGAAGGCCAAGTTCATAGCACCAACGATCACACAGCATTCACTGGCCGATCCCAATAATAATGCGGGACTCAATCTGCAAGCCCCAAGTAAGAAAATCTATACACCTGCTCACCACCTCGGATTGCTGTCTCAATCGCATGGCAATTGATCACCGTTGTGGCAATTGATCACCGTTGCTCAACTTCTCAACCACGGCAGCTATGGGTGTGAAGGGGCTTTACAGGCAATATTTAAATATTCTGGGCTTGTTCCGAGTCAGTACTCTCTTCATACATGACTCTCACAACTGGATTCTCACACCTGACATCAAGGAAAATGCACCATCCCGGCGCCGACTGTTGCGATGATAACAACCTCATGGCCCAAGCGAATCAGCAGCTGGCATGCGAGCTGCTCTAGAGTCAGGCAAGCACACTCACTGCATGCCTGGCCTCCTGACGTGTCGTCTCCCTCGGCAGCTCCTCCGGCTATGTGAAAGATTGGGCGGCAGCAGATGCTTTTCGACAGTTATACCAAAACCGGTGGGTACTGATCTCCTTTGCGGGACCGGCGCTGATTTACGCAGGGAAGACGCTATTGTGGAGAGGTTTCACCTTGACCGCCAGGTCTTCCAGCCATTTTTGAGGACCACCGTGATCATTTCTCGATCATTGTTCCCGACCGATCCATCCCCGACTGGGCAGCCGAAAGCGAGCGTTGACGCGCGCTGGGCCTCAATAAGTATGAGGAAAAGACAGGTCGAGTCACCATCGCAAATGCGTGCACGCAACTCCCCGTCGATGCCCTTGGCATGGGCTTCACCACCAAGGACGCTCACCACCATCTCGTGGGACATCACGGCGAGGGTCTCAAGCTGGCTGCGTTTGGTCCTCTCTCTCGACGGCTACCAAGTGAGCATTGCGGCGAGCGGGTGCAACTCCAGGTTTGAAATGCCCACAGGGTCCAGATCGATTTCTTGCGTTGTGACACTATCCCAGAAGTGTGACGTGGCCGCTTGGACCAATCCTTCCACCGATATGGGAAGGATGCGTTCCCACATTGAGAGAGATGTCACGGTGGTGATTAGCGCGCGACGGGCTAACTCAGGCTCGACCGGTCGCGTCCGACGCTCGGCTAACAGGCCGTCTCTTAGAGCCGTCGACGACCATTCGAGTCTGGCAATACCTGCTGCGCGAATCAGCATATAAGCAGTTCTTTTACAGCGAGAATAGCAATGATCAGGTAGGTCTTCGGACGCAGACTCTTTGGCATTCTGATGACTGATGCAGACAGACTGTAAACACAATCCGGGACTGCCTCGGCAAGCGCCCGACGCGCCTGCCCGAGACGCTATAGAACTTGCTGCCTGCCCACTGGCTCAATCCGAACCGTCGAAAAAGAGCAGCAAGAGCCATTCAAGGTTGCGAAGCCCTATACCGTCCCGAACACGGCATTTGCGAGAATAGTCGATCAAGCTTTGCAGGCCTATTTTGCTCTGCTGAAATTCACCGATCACATTCCGGTGGTTTACGTCAAAGGCTTGACTAACAAGGCCGATGTATACTTTGGCAAAGGACAGGGTACGTTCAAGATTCATCACCGAAGGTTGAACTACGCTTCCACACACCACCAGTCGTTCTGTCGGTCCTAGTCTCCAAGCAGCCTCGCTGACACGATCGCCCCGTTCTTCTGTGGTCATGTAGTAGAAGAGCTCTTGGTTCGATCGATCGCCTCCATGTTCAAAGCACATCCGAAATCTCGGCCGGCAGAGATAAAGTTCATGCGTCAAATTGGACTGCGATTGCGATACCTGCCGCACAGCATCAAGTTGAAGCCATACCCCAGGGGTATTCTGGTCAGCTGGGAAGATAACGAGACGGAGGCATTTCGCACGCTCGGGCCTGGCGGCCCAGACTATCATGTTGTGCTTCATGAAGGCAATTGCGCAAGTGTCGAGATGGCGCTTCTCCACGACAAGGCAGGTAAGTGGTCATCGGCCATCCACGGAAGTAAAGGCTAACTTGCCATCTAGCCCTCCCCAACGAAGTGGTGCCCTGTGGCTGCCGTCAGCAATTCGCTCGTCAGACACACCGAATGTGCCTCTTTACCGGTCTATCGCACACAACGACATATTTGCTATGATTACGCTGAACGAGGATCGGGCATTCTATGGAGTTTCATCTAATCGAATCTCGCCGGGGTCGTACGAGAAATGTCAAAACTACTCCCTAGTAACATTCGGACAATGTCTGCACTCTCTGCAGCATATCCGGCTTTGATGGGAAGGCCCAGTGCGGGACTAACTCATGCAACAAGAGCACAAACAGTAACTTCATTGTATTCAGATCAAGCATGATCTCTACTAACATACTACGTGTTCCGCAGGCGTCCGAAGTTGACTGATTCTTATTCTTCAAAAGCTATTGCACGCCGTCATACTGTCACACACCCAGATCTCACGATCTCGGCATCTATGATCACCAAGGTTCGATGAATTTCGAGGGTGCATGTTACTAGTCTTCTCGCACATATGCAGCGCAATTTGATTCGCGGCCGTGACCAGACTGGATTGTCATCTAACTGTCTGGGCATGTGCGGAAACATTGCGAATGAATATTGACCCCTGGCCTCGCATATTCTATCCATTTGCTCACCGCCGACGTATGCACCACCTTGTGCTATGATTGGTTCAGACGCGATGACCGGCGAAGCGAAGGAGTGGTGTTAGCCAGACGGGCTGACCGACGGACACTGCGCCCCGCGCCAGACACTGCTGATCTGCGGCGCGATGACACTGACTGCGCCGGTAGACGGGCTGAACCGGCCCGCCGAGGGTTTTCGATGGCATCCGTCTCTTCCGTCACTGGAGATGCACGTAGTCTCGCGTTTTCAACTGCTGTGTCGGGATTTGTCGGGATCGTCCTCGGCGAGCGGAGCAAGGCATCCAGAGCTTCGTCATTTCGGCTGCAGCGTATGAGCATTTGAAGTAACTGGGAAGGCTAATCGAGACTTACCAGGCACAGCAGGACACGTTAGATGCCACCTCGTGCTTCTCCAGCCACTCCTCCACACAGCCTAGATGAGCTAATCCCCGGCATTGTTTACAGCGGAGTATTACGCTCTCATCCGCCTGGTCTTCCTCATCAGCCAGACAAAATGGACAATGTATATGAGACACCTCTTCGCTACGAGTGAGACTGTGCAGTTCCAGGTTTTGCATCCCCGCCCCGATATTGAACCCGGACACAGTGGCTGGTTCAGCCGGCGAGATACTCCACGGAACACTGTCGGTGCGCAGCATCGATGCCGTGACGTATCGAACTGTCCTGTCCAGTGGCTCGGCAGCAACGGAGTCACGGACCGGTGGTATTCTCTCCTCGTTCTGACGTGTAACCCTGCGGGGAATCTCTGACTCGGAGGGACTCGTGAGCGTGGATCGCCGGCGCTGACTGGCTTCCATATCAAATGCTACAGAAGCAGCCTCGGAGATGTGATCGGCTCGTTCCAGGTTGCGAGCCGCAGCCTCATACCACTGCTGGCCAACTTGGCTTGCCTGTCGCTGTCGGTGCCATCTCGCACAGAGAAAGTTCCTCGCGATATCACATAATGTGGGTTGTAAAGTCGAGAAGTCGTGTGGTCGTGATGCGAGATTTGCCAGTTGCTGTTGGCCGGTCTTGATGTCTTGGATTTTGATGGAGTTCTTGCACGGTGCACCCGTCTTGGTGGTCCCGCAGCAGATTCGAGCTTCCGCGTGCGCCCTGATATCCATCTCGTAAATAATGAAACGGTCCGACTCTTGGTAAGATGCCATGGCTTAGTGATATGCTAGGAATGAGAAACGATCAAAATGATTGAGATGATTGAGATGCCAACCAAGGGGCGAAGCTACTTTTTTATACAGTACCGTAACTCTGGCTTCGTCTGAAATAATACGAAGCCAGTTCATCGGCAACATCTCACATATGTAGCTGCCTACCGCGGTGAAGGAATGTGTCTTTTCTGTAGCTGAGGTCTCTTTGTTTTGGTGGTCATGAACTGAGTGAAGGCTACTGCCTCTCTAAGCAGCCCTGTGGTATTCCGAGCAGTCATGCATCCGCAACAAGTCACCAGTCATGCTTCTAGATCTCCTTAGGAAGCTCCTAGGGTCTTCAAAGCTCCCTGGAGCTCACAAGTATGATCTCCGCGACAGACGCACTGTCTCCAGGATCTTTTGATGCGTTTCTAGGAGCCATTTAGTGAGAATGGCATGACTTCTCAGTCGTGACCAACATATAAAGGTCAATTTCCCTCACCAGACTGACAATATTACAAATTCATCCAATCCACAAGCATCCAGTATTAGTGCCTCTCGCGCATTCCGTTTTACTCTAATCGGTTAACGGCCCCCACTTCCACGACCTACGAGCTCCGTTCTACTCTGTCCTCTCAAGAAACAAACAATGGGCCAATACTGGCTAGTGGTTTGCCCATCCAAACGGAAGAAGAGGAGGGAGCAGCGACTATCTCGGCCGTGGAAGCATCTGTCAATCCCAAAAATCGAATCCTGAGGAATTTGACTGCCAAGCAATATGTCTGGGAGGACAAGTTGCCATCTGGAATCACCATTGGCGATATAGTAGTGATGAGAATTTGTTGGTCGTCTGATGAAAGTTCAACCGGCATTGAGGGAGGAGAATATCTGGCCAAGGGAGACTGGGCTGGCCATAAGTTCGACATTGTTGACGCCGACATGCTGGAAAATACAAATGGAGAATGGGAAGATGTCACCGGGGACACCCGCGACGAGGTTCAGGATTTGTGGTCGAGCCATTTCGGAGAGAACTGGGAAACCGAATGGAGAGCACGATACGTCATGAGCAAGAAGCTATGAAATCACTCGATGTAAAGTATACCGGAGAGGTAATTCTAGACTATCAAAGAAAGCATGAATGAGAATACCTTTGGAGACGCCGTTGCTGTGATCCTTCTCTCGAATAACCGTGGCTTGTGCGATCAAATATCTGGGTGTTGGTATCACCAGCTAGGTACTGTGTTCACAGTTAAATGGACAGCATATATGCTCGAAAAGCAAAGTCAATTGATTCATGTAGATAGTTGTGTTCCAGGTCATGTCCTAATACCCCTGAATCCCATACGGCGGGAGCCGCAGCTTAGCAGGATTACGTACAC